CCTCGTTGACGATGGGCCCGAAGACGGCGATGGAGAACACCTGCGGGCGGCGCGGTGCTCAGGGCCCTGCGGCGACCCCACCTCTGCGTCGCCCGCCGGGAGCGCCCACGCCCCCGGGCCTGTCCCAGCGCTCCCAGGCCGGTGTCTGGGTGGGGGGCGTGGTCACCTCTTCCTTTTCCAAACCCTCGCGTATTTAGTAATTGTCGGCAACACGGACCGTTTAGTGAGCATATACCGTGCCCAGGTATTGTCCTAAACCGTCACTTTACATGCGTTCCCTCACCGAATCATCAGAAAGTCCCCATGGGATCTCCATTGTTCTTACCCTCTTTATAAATGGGGACATAGGGGCTCCAAAGGGGAAGTGTCCGGGAATGCAAGGGTGACAAAAGCCGGGGCTGATTCAAGCCAGGTGCCCTGCATCGCATGGGCCCGTGATATCCCCTCAGAGCCCACCCAAGAGTGTGGGAACAGGAGCCTTCACCTGGGCCCATGATTCCCAGGTTGGCGCCGGCAGGGCGGAATGGAGGTAGGAGTGGAGCGGGCAGAGCGGGGCGGGAGGACACGGAGGCAGCGGGGCTGTTGCTCCCTGCGCGGTTGGGAGCTGTCTGGCCTGTTTCTAGCACGCACATAGGGTGACAGGCAAAGCTCCTGGAGTTCTGGGACAGAGACGTCCACCCAGCTTTCTGCACGTGGTGGGCATCTGAGGCATGACGGCCCCCACGTGACTGATTATTAATATCGCCCCTAAGTGTTTGGGCTGAAAGGATGACACCGTTGACCTCCGGGATTCAGTCAAACCTCAGTGCCTCCTGCCCACCAGTTCCGGGAGGCAGGCAGCGGAGGGGGTGAGGAGCGCAGTCATTTTAACCAGCGCTGTACGGGGCAGCCCTGTGTCTCCAATAAAAGACTTCCAGCCTCAACCTCATCCCTCATCCCTTCGATCTTTTCCCGCTCCAGCTCCGAGAGACCAAGGCGAGTGGGAAACCAGGACATGCACTTGTCGCCCAGGAGTGGGCCACAAGTTGGGACAGGCGCTCATACTGGAACACAGCGCCCTGCCTCCCGGTCTGCTCAGAGCCACCCCGAAGGGGAGACCAAAGCCCCCTGCCTCACCGTGGGCACCGCCCTCCTCCAAGATAGGCGCCGAGGTCACCATCTGGACAAAACCCAGAGCTCCGCCACCCACTTGCCACCTCCCCTGCCACCTCCCCTGCCAGAGGGCAAGAAGGAGCAGCAGGGCCCTCCCAGAGACACCCCAGTGGGCTAGGCTGCCCTAAACCTGCCTCCCACACCACCGCCGACAGGAAGCCCTCCCAGCCCAAACCTCTCCTCCCTCAACTCACAGCTGGACCTGGGGGCCAGGGGACAGGCTCCCTGCCAAGGAGCCCGGAGGGTGTGTGTGCAGGGTAAAGGGGAGGCGCTGCCCGATCTCTCTCGGTTCCCGTAGCCCCCTCCTTCTGCCCCTCGGTGAATCCCGTCCCCACCCGGAGCCTGCTTCCAGGTCACGAGAACAGGAAAAACAGAGTAAGGGCTGCAGAAAGGCACTGGAATTAGACCCGAGGAGGAGGCAAGGGTAGGGGCCACCGGCGGTGACCTCTCAAGGTCCCTCTCCGTCGCCGCCAGCCCCTCCCCCCGCCCGCAGGTGGGCGCGCCCTGCCCGGTGACGTCACCCCAACCTGAGGCCGGCGGGGGAGGGGCCGGCAAGGATGAGAGTGAGGTTGGGGAGCGAGAAGCAGGGGGTCAGGGGGCGGGTAGGGGCATGAGGGTCGCGAGGCAGGAGCGGGGAGCGGGGAGCGGGAGCCCGCGCAGGGGCCACTCACCCAGGACGCGACCCGGAGCAGGGTCTGGGGCCGCCGCGCAAAGCTCACGGGGTCCAGGGCGGCCCCCGCGCGACCCGCGCCGAAGGAGGCGCCCTCCATGGCCGGCCCGGGCGGGATGCGCGCCCCCGGCGCCCTCTGTCCGCCTGTCCGTCCGTCCAGCCCCACCCGAGGCCGCTGCCGCTGATGCTGATGCTGATGCTACCGACGCTGCAGCCGTCGCCGCCTCCCGGGAGCGCGCGCCGGCCGCGGCGGAGGCGCGCGGGACGGGGCGGGGCCGAGCCCGCGCCCCTCACTGGGTCCACGCGCTCCGGGCCAGGGCCCTCTTCTCCCTCCGCCGTGCCCACCTCCCATCCCCCACCCTCACCTGCCTGCCCCGATCTTGAGATCGAGACCATCCTCAGGAATCCGCCAGCCAGGTCCCCGGGGTAAGGGGGCAAGGGCGCAGGGCGCAGATTTTGCCGTAACAGGGAGGACAGACAGGAAAAGGAACCCGCTACTCTGCGAAGGGCCCTTGGGTGAGGAAATGAAGGAGTAGGAGGTCCACGGGTTCCAGCATCTTCCCCCAACCCTCGGGAGAGGGGAATGGCTCCCTGACCCTGGTCCCAGGAAGACCAGATGGGCAAGTGGGGTCTTTCCCATGGCCCCCCACAGTGCTCTAGCTGGTGTTTCAGCAGGTTCTAGCCTCAGACTGGGAGAGTCTGGTGGGAAGGCAGGCCTCCACCTCAGGAGCACCTGTTGAGGGACGAGGAGGGCCACCGTGGCCAGCGCGGATTAGACTTGGTTTTGGTGTCTCTGCTCCTTGCCTGTGGCCACGTGCTGGAGCTCCCAATGCCCTCCCTACTCCTGGGTCTCCCTAGCGCACTTGCAGGCCCTAGTCTGGAATCGAGGGCAGGGAGAGGCGTCAGAGACCAGCAGTTGGGTGGGGCTGGCGCCTGGCTGCCCTGTGCCCTGCTGGGTCCCCTCCAGACCCCAGCCCTGGGTGCAACAGGGTCCCTCCCCTCATGTTCCTGCCAGGCTGGAAGTTCAGATGACTCTTAGGTTTCTGTCTAGAGCATTGAGACGTCTGCACTGACAGCATTTACAACACCAAGTGCATCACCTGTAGAGGCAGAGTGTGCTACCACCCTGTTCTTCAGACAGGTAAATAACCCAGCTGCCTGCTACAACAACCTGGTGCACAGACGGTGCTGCCTTGCCCAGCCCCACTGGAGCCCATTGGTTCTGGTCTGGAGCTCTTTCTTCAATCTAGCTGGGCACAGTCCGGCGGAGCAGGTGTTGCCAGAGGCGCCACTTACTGGATTTCAAATCCATCATACTGTGTGTCTAATCCCGACCCGTCTCACCCATTGGCCCCAGGCCTCCCCTCTGTGTCATTCATTTTCCTCTTTTACTTCATCACTTACATCAGTACCCAGACATGCTACACTTTCTCCTAAAAAGCCAAACACTATTGACCCCCACCTCCCCTCCAGCTTCGAGCAGTTACTGCTCCCTTGAGCAGCAAGCTTGGGTTTTCTATCCTCTGCCTGCACCACCCCTCCTCTCTCTCCCTCTGAGACCCGGCAGAATCAGCTCCCACCGCCACCTAAACTCAAAGGTTGCCACTGACCTCTCCATGCCAATCCCAAGAGCAAGTCTGATGCTGCTGTCAGCTCAATTTTTTTTTTTTTTTTGGAGACAGAGTTGCACTGTCGCCCAGGCTGGAGTGCAGTGGGTCAGTCTTGGCTCACTGCACAAGCTTTGCCTCAGAGGCTCAAGTGATGCTTCGGCCTCGGCCTCTGGAATAGCTGGGATTACAGGCATGCAACCATGCCTGGGTAATTTTAAAAATATTTTTAGTTTTGGTTTTGCCAGGCTGTGCTCTAACTCCTGACCTTTAGTGTGATCTGCCCACCTTGGCTTCCCAAAGTGCTGGGATTACAGATGTGAGCCACTGCACCCCACCTGGAGATCCTCCTCCCTCCTGGTGCTCCTCCTTCCTCGTGGGCCCCTCCTCTGTGACCTGTGAGGCTTAGGAGCCCAGGGCTTGATCCTGGTGGTGGTGGTGGGATCTCTCTTCCCTCTGTGCTGGCTCTTTTGGTCTGTGTGTCAACAGCTCTGGTACACTAGCTTGAGCTAGAGCCTTTCCTTGAACTTCAGTTCCACCGGCCTGGATGCCCTCAACAGCCTCTGAGTCAAAGTGAAGAGTTTTATTTGGGAGTGAAACTTCAAGGAAGACAGGGAAAAAGGGAAGTAAGGCAGCTAAGAAGGACAGCAGATACAGGCAGTGTGTTCCTGAGCTGACCACAGCCTCACCAGAGGACCCAGCTGCTTCCTGAGGCACTCACAGGCCTCGAAAAAGGCCAGAGAGAAGCACTGAGTCTGGGCGAGGAAGGGGCACCTTCTCTCCTGGCGACCCCCATCTCCCCTCTCTCATTTGTGCCACCTGGCCTCCCGGGCAGCCTCTACAGAAGCCAGCAGCCCCACAGGACCAATCTGGTGGGGGATAGGGCAACTCCCTCCACACATGCCTCAGGACAGAGATCCCTGGAGCTTTATGGCCACAGGAGACACTGCTGCTGGGCTGCTCTGGCTGGGGAGGCCCAAAGGCTGGTCCCAGTCACCCCTACTCACTGCACCCAGCCTTTTCTGTCTCCAACACACACAGCAGTGCCCAGCAGTCTCTGAGGACTCCATCTTCACCTCAGGGTTCTCAGACTCTCCCCTCAGTGTACCCCACATCGGCCCCCAATAGGAGGGTGAGTCTCCTCTCTGGGGTCACTCAGTGATTGCTCCAGCTTCCTCGCCAGCCCCCCTGCTCCACCCTTACCTGCCTCATTCCCAGCTCAGCAGCCAGAGGACCCTTCAAAGCCACATCACTTCCTGCCATATCCTGGCTCCAAACCTGCCAAAACCTACTGTCACAAGAGCTGGGGGTAAAAGCCGCGGCCTTTCTGGGGCCTGAGAGGCCTCATGCTGTCTGGCCTCCTTGTACTCCTCGAACCCCCATATCAGTTACTCTGGCCCCCTTTCCCCAACCAATCAGCATCCTTGCTGTTCCCGGCCCTCCCTCACCTTGGGATTTCCCTCTCCTCCTGAGGAACCAGGACCCCAGCAGGAAATGCAGCTGAGCACAGGAGGACAGAGCAGGCCCCGTACACTGCTATAGGCCCTAGCACAAAGCACACGAAGCCGAGGTCCTCAGTCACTTCAATGTTTTATTTGGACCTCAAACTCTGAAGCAGCGGGCAGCACAAACCCTCTGTGGACAGGCACGGCACAATGCTGGCAGGCATGAGCCAGGCAGGGAGTGGGCAGGATGGTGGACCCTCAGACAAACCCCGCCTGAGCTTTCCTGTAAGGACTAAGCAGATTGCAGAGTTCAGCCCATGAAGTGAGCAGCTCAGAGCCATGGGGGGCAGGGGCCCTGAGGGCATCCCTGGCTGCACAGTGGGAAGGCAATGGCCTGGGCTCCAGGGACAGGCACAGGGTCACCCAGCCAGGCCCAGTCTTCCTGTGTGAGGAGCGAGGCACCAGGGCATGGGGTGAGCAGGAAGCCACATCCTGAATGGCAAGGGGCAGCCCAGGCTCCTCCAGTCTCCCTCACCTGCAGTTCAGCTGCTGCTCCTTGGGGGCTCCACTGAGGAGGAGGCCAGCAGGTGCCTGCTGTGGGTGCCTCTCTGTTCCAAACCTGCGAGGGGCGGGGCCCCCCGGGCAGTGTCCTGGGACCACTCAACTGAGACACAACAGGCTCCGGACCTGATGCACGTTAATGAGTGCCCTGCCCCTATCCAACCAGGCTACTGCAGGGGCCCTGGCTGGCTGTCCCATGGGCTCTGGCTAACCAGCCTCTAGTCACAGGAGCCATCCTTCCAGCCGTCACGCCAGCGCTCATCCACTTTTGAGCAGTCAAAGTCAGGCTTGCCCAGCTTGCGGTTCACCTCATTGTGCAGGTGGCACAGCCACTGCGTGAAGCATGCCCGGGTGCGGGTGTCTGGCTGGTTCCTGCACAGCCTGTGTAGGGAGAGCATGTGAAGAATGGGAGGACGCAGCGGCTCCACTGCCCCTGCCAGCTCTGTCTGCTCTCAAGGACGGAGAGCTGGGCCACTGCCGTGCACTTCACCTCGGAGTGCCCTCATGCTCCGAGGGATGGGAATTCCCATAACAGGCCTGACCCTGCAGTTCCCGGGGTGTGGCGGACTCCCAGGGCTGCTGAAACACTGACAGGGCCTCAAAGAAAAATATTACAGCACAGACCTAGCAATTTTACAAGCTCCTAATGCCGAGGAGGCGGCACCTAGTGTCCCTAGCCCCAGGTAGAGTGTGGACCGGGTGGGGCTAGGCACAGCCTTGTAATTGAAAACTGGACTTGATTTTTAGCACCTCAGGCTCTGATGCCTCAGTCAGGATGAGACTTCATTCTGACTGTCCAGGCTGAAAGCAACAATAGCAGCTCTGCCCCACTCATCTGGCCTAGAAACAGCTGCAAGGGCCAGTTCTGGCTCTTGGATACCTCAGTGAGGAAGAGGTGGCTCTTGGGAGCAAAAGTAGTGTGTTTCCAAGATTTTAAAACCAGCAGTCCAGAAGTCAGGCAAAGTGGAGTCCTCCCTAACTTGCGGGGAGCCGCCTTTGGTGCCAAACAAGGCAGGGAAGCCCTTCCTGGGAGACCTGTGGCTGTGGGAGAGCAGTTCCGAGCAGCAAATCCCGGCAGCTTGGCCTCTGAGACAAGAGGAGGAGGCTCAGATAGCCCCAGTCCTCACCTGTTGGTGGTCCCTGCTCCTCAGCCAGTTTCTGCCACCTCTGCAGGTTTCTCTAGGTTCCCCGCTATAACGTCAGTCAGGAGCCCCAGGCCCAGGCTCCAGTGCAAAGCTCTGATGCCTGCCAACACATCTTACCTTTTCCTTAGGTCTTCAGCACACTCCTCACAGGGATAAAACTTGGAAAATAAATGTATGAACTGGGCCATGTCTTGCTGCTGTTCTGGGGTGGGCAGGTCGGGGTAGTAGGCGGCCAGGGTGTGGAGGACAGCCCAGCTGTGGCGGCCCAGTTCCTCGCGATCCGGCGGGCAGTCCTCCCTAAATTTGCTGTCCCGCTGCGGAAGGCCGACCGAGAGTGAGTTCATTCTCCGAACAGAAGCGCCCAAAGCTCCCCCCTTACACGCCCAGCCGGTGGCCCAGTGGACTCCGGCCAGAGTCCTGCAGACGATCCAGCCCAAACGCGAATGAAGGCTCTAAGGCCGGACCTATCTGGGGGACAAGGTTCAGGGAAAGGCAACCCTGGGGAGCTCTGCCGGGGCACCTAAGCGGGGGCAGGGGCTGCGCGGGGTCCGGGGAGGTCGGGCAGGGATCTGCACCTTCTGCTGCGTCCGCATCCACGTCTTGAAGTCCACGCAGGCCCGGCACGGCCGCCTCCGGGAGACGTCCTCGGCGACCTGAGAATCGGAGGTCGATGCCTGGGCTGGCGTCGGGGCTGACCTCTCAGCCGCGTCTCTCCGCCCCGCTCCCCGGCCCCGTGCGTCGGTAGCCAGGTCGTCCATCACTTCGGAGCGCGCGCCGCCCGGCAGGAAGAAGGAATTCCCGCTATAGAAGCGGCCCCGCTCGCCGGGCGCCGCCATGTTGCCCGCGCAAGGTCTGCCGGGCTAGCTCAGCCTCCAGATGAGCCTCCAGGTCGGCCTCCAGGCCAGCGCGCGAAAATACGAGCCGGAGGCGCGCACGGTGCTCGCGGGGGCGGGGGGCGGAGTCGGGGGCGGGGGCCGGCCAGCGGGCACGGGTGGAGGCGGAGCCACAGGCCGCAGCGCTGGCCTGGGAGGGGACGGAGCTGGAGGAGGATCCGGCCGCTCCGCGACCCGCGCCGGGTTTGCGCAGTCCGTGGCGGCACTCTCGCCTCCTCCGGTAGAACAGCAAAGTGTGGCGGAAGATGCGCCGCGGCCATGCTGTGGACCTGGGCTGAGGCCCAGGCGAAGTCCGTGTCGCGGCCCGCGACGCCCCCATCCCTCTGCTCTCAGCGTCCTGCGTGCCCGCAGCCACGCTTTGTGCCCTCCGCTGAGGGGCGCTTCCACCCGCTGGGTGCTGGGAGCCCTGGCAACGCAGGGCCGGCATGACCGCACAGAGTACGGCGCGCGCTAGGGCCCTGGGCTCTCGGCCCCGCCCCGACGCCATGGCAACGGGCGCCTGGCAACGCGGGGCGGGGCGCGGCTGCCGAGGGTGGGAGAGAGCTTCTGGCTCTCCGCGCGCCCCGGGCTGCCACCGGTCCTACGGCCTGGATGAGGGGTCGGGCTCCCAGTTGGAGCGACTTCTGGGATTCCTTTGCCTCCTCGTGTTCATTCATCCATTCCGCTATTATTTGTGCAGTGGCCGCTCTGCTCCAAGCGCTGTTCCAGGTGCTGGGCAGAGCAGGGAACACGGCTCTGCTGCCTGAACTCCTGTTCATAATTCAATGGTCAAGACGTGAAAACAAAAACGAACCACGCTCATGAATGTTCCCGTACAAACCGGTGGGGCCGTGCAAGGGTGGGGTAAATATGGAAGGCCTCCTTGAGGAGGTGACCCTTGGGCACAGGCCGGAAGGATGAGAAATCAGCTGAGGAGCACCTTTGAGACCAGGCTCAAGGTGGCAGGGTCCTGGCGTTTTGCAGGAACAAAAAGGACCCATCAAAGACCTGGTCAGTAGCTGCGAGGATTGGGAATTTATTCTAAGGGTAGGGAGAAGATGCCAGTTTTGGGCAAGGCTACCCAATCTGATCCCATTTCAGTTTGCTGCAAAGATTCCTCTGGCTATCATATGAGTGGTGGATTTCTTTTCTTTCTTTCTTATGGGGAGTGAATTTTTCTCTTTTCTTTTCCTTCCTTCCCTTCCCCCTCCCCTCCCCTTCTTTCTTTCCCCTTCCTTTCTTCTTTCTCTTTTCTTCTGGTAGGGTCATGCTCTGTTCCCCAGGCTCAAGTGCAATGGCACAATCATGGTTCACTGCAGCCTCAACTGCTTAGGCTCAAGTGATCCTCCCATCTCAACTTCCCACGTGCCACCACACAGGGCTAATTTTTGTATATATTTTTTGGTACCGATAGAGGTCTCACCATGTTGCCCAGACTGGTCTCCTGAGCTCAAGCAGTTCCCCGGCCTTGGACTCCCAAAGTGCTTGGATTACAGGTGAGAGGCACCGAACCTGGCCTTGGAGTGGATTTTGCAGGGGCAAGTGAGGAGGCTATGGATGGAGGGTGGGGTGGTTGTACCATTCAGGTAAGAAAAGAGGGTAGGAGAGGAAAAAGTGGGAAGGATCCAGGGCTGATGTGGTGTGGGGCAGGCTGTGTCAGCTGGGCTGTGGAGGGGCCTCAGAATTCCTCTAGGCCTCTGCTTGTGAATAAATCTTTCCTAGCTTCTCTACTGCCCTCCAGGAGAGCAAAGTCTCCCCTGGGTTGATTCACCACCAGTTCATTGGGGCCCTCAGCTGAGATAGGGTGCCCTGCAAATCAGCCCTATGTGAGCAGGTGTTCTTAATCCATGCCAAGACCAGGGACAGCTTGAGGGCCTCAGAGAGTGCTGGTGAGACACACACAAAGGCCCTTTGTTGCAGCCAAGGCAGATTCCTGGAGGGATGCCCCAGAGGCTGACCGCTCCCTGAAGGGACTGGAGTAGGGGCATCCCAACACGGAACTGGTGGCTCCAGCACCAGGAAGAACCACTGTGTGCCAAGGTTGAATGCGGCTTCCGAAGCTTGAACTATAAGGAAGCAGGCAGAGAGGTGTGGCACCTGGGCCAGCCTCTGACTAGGCGGTGTTTGCGGTAAGTCACGGTAAATCATGAATTGAGAGGTGGCTCTCAAAACAGTCCTGGTGACCACTTCCCTGACCACCCCTCACCCCTCAAGTGCCAGTGACTACACAGATGGGCCCTCGTTTACCCCAAGTCTCCTCATTGCAGGGGAACCCCTGGAGTGAGCCTGTGAGGTCTGCCCGTTCCCCAACATCTACAGAAAAACTCACCATAATTATACATTTAGCACACATTTCCTCCTCAGTGAGTTGGGGACATTAAGAGATCTTTCCTCCGGCATTAGAATTAAACCAGACAAAGCACTTAAAGCCTTGAGCACTGAGTCCTTGGTTCTGAGAATTCTGTCTTAGAAAAGAAACCCCCAGGCCAGTTCTAAGACAGAGTTGTTGGGCGCACCCCGGCAGGAGGTTACACCAGGCCAAGTACCTCGCAGGGTGGGGGAATCCAGAGAGGTGGGCAGGACTGGTGGCATTTTGATGGGCCCCGCCTTCTCTTCCCTCCTCCCTTGGCCAGAGTCAGGCAGGTGGGCCCCAGGCAGCAGTTCTTAGTCCTGCACGCCTCTAGGGCCAGGACGCTCATTCTTCCTCCTAACAGCTCTGCCTGGAAGTCCCCCAATCCCTGTGCTACTGTTCCCAGATCTTGGGCTTGGGGGACAGCAAGAAAGCTGCAAATAACTCAGCTGGGGCAGCCCCACAAGGACCCTACAGGCTTGAGGCATTGCCGGGATTCTATCCCAGCTAGCCAGGCTCCTGGGTGCCCTAGAACCCTCTGGAGCACAGGGAGGCAGAGGGGTCCTTACCCATTTCAGGAGTCTGCGGCCTGAAGGCCACAGCCATGGCAGCTCCCCGATACCCGGTTTCAGTTCGAGGGACAGCTCTGGTGCAGATCAAGAGGCTCCAGGTAAGACCTGACTGCGTCTCTAGTGGCCCTAAGGCATAGGAAGGGGGTGCCTCAATCAGCATCTTCAAGGCACCCACAACTTTACATCCCCTAGACGTTTGCCTTCTCCGTGCACTGGTCAGATGGCAGCGACACCTTTGTGCGCAGGAGCTGGGGGGAATTCAGGCAGCTCAAGGTGAGTGACCCTGGGCCACCCTAATACCATGGTTGAGGATTCCCCACCTGGGTGACTACCAGTGCAAGACCTATCAGTGACTAACTGAAGGCCATTCATCCTGCCTGAGGCTCCCAGCCCTTGCCATCAAGGTGAGGGACCCCACCCTCCTAAGGGTGCACAGTGGACTCTGGGAGACTGATGCTCTGGTTCCTGCCCTCAGAAGACTCTCAAGGAGACCTTTCCGGTGGAGGCGGGCCTGCTGCGGAAATCCGACCGCATTCTCCCAAAGCTTCTCGGTCAGGCCAGCCTGGGTCTGGGGGCAGGGAAGGCGGTGGCTTGCTGGGGGTGGGGGGTGTGGTTCGAGGGATCAGTGAAGCCTGAAGCGGGGTCTCACAGTACATTTTGGTGGTATCCTTAGATGCACCGCTATTGGCACGTGGGGGGCGCACGAGCCGCGGCCTGGCACGCCTGCAGCTGCTGGAAACCTTTTCTCAGAGGCTGCTGGCAACCGCAGAGCGTGTGGCTCGGAGCCCGGTGATCACAGGCTTCTTCACACCGCAACCCCTGGACCTGGAGCCCGCGCTGCCACCCGGCAGGTGCCTGACTCGTGCCTAACTCCCAGCCTGCAGCAGCATTTGGAGCTGGGGGGGGAGGTCCAAGGTGGGGGTTACAGCTAGTGAAGAGGAGTAGAGACTGGGAGGCTGGCAGTCTTGCTGGGGTGGCGTGGCACGCCTAGTTTCACCCTGGAATCTGCCTACCTCTCACCGTGCGGGCTGCCCTTCCCAGCCGGGTGATCCTGCCCACCCCGGTGGAGCCACCTCTCTCCCATGCTGCCGATCGCCTCTCCATCCACAGTCTGGAGGCTCAAAGCCTGCGCTGCCTGCAGTCCTTCTGCACTCAGGACACACGGGACCAGCCTTTCCAGGTGCAGGCCCAGGAGAGCCTGGATGTGCTCCTGCGGCACCCCTCCGGTAGGGCCTGCCAAGAACCCAGGGATTCACCTCTCTGCCCTTGGACGCCAGGGGGCCTCAAGATCTGAGTCCCCACCCGCCTCTTGTGCACAGGCTGGTGGCTGGTGGAGAACCAGGACCAGCAGACAGCTTGGTTTCCAGCACCCTACCTGGAGGAGGTGGCTTCGGGCCAGGGCCAGGAAGGAGACCCGTCCCTAGGGAGCAGCGGTATGCACCTAACCCCCACCCCTCATGCCATCATTACAGCTGGACCATGTGGCAAAACTGGGCCAGAAGCACTGCGGGAAAGGGCGGCTTGATGGGGCCCAGGAGCCCGTGCTTGGTCACTGAACCTAGAAGTCCTAAACCAGTTTTAGGGCGGTCCCGGCGTCAGCAGAGACTCAAGCCAGGAGAATCCGGAGAAGGGTAGGGGCCCTGGCCTCTGCGGCCCCACGGTGACCCCAAACATCCACCCCCAGGTCCCCAGTTCTGTGCTTCCCGCGCCTACGAGGGCAGCCGTGCGGATGAGCTGTCTGTGCCCGCAGGCGTGCGCGTGCACGTGCTGAAAACGTCAGATCGCGGCTGGTGGCTCTGCAGGTGAGCAGGCGTGGGCATGGGCGGGGCCGTCTAGCCGAGGCAGGTGGGGCCTTAACCACATCCCCGCCCCTGGCAGGTACGGCGACCGGTCGGGCCTCCTCCCTGCGGTGGTGCTGCGGCCTGAAGGGCTGAGCGCCCTCCTGAGTGGGACGAGGTTGCGCGGAGGAGACAACTCAGCAGATGAGTTGTCCCCCGAACCCTCCCAGGCCACTGCCCCTGCCCCCACCGTCCCCGCCCGACCTTCGCCGGGCGCCATCCAGAGCCGCTGCTGCACCATCACCCGCAGGGCCCTGGAGCGGCACCCAGGGCGCCAGGACCCCTCTGGAGGGTTCGTGGACCCTGTGCCGCACGCTACAACAGAGCGGTGAGAGCGAGGATCCCCATGGGGAGACGGACTGTGCCATCCCAGGGCTGGGGAGGAGTGGGGAGGGCGGATCTCCCTGGCTCCAGGGATGGGAGGGGCAATTTACTGTTCTGAATAAAGCTTGTTCTGAATGACCCCTGCAGTCTCAGCCTGCTCAGCCGGGTCTCTGCCAGGCCAGGGTGTGAGGATGGGCTAGCAGGGCCGAGACCATCGGCTCCAGTGCCCCTTTGGGTGGCAAGGTAGGGTGTTGGTCAGGATGGGGTCTAGACTGGAGCCAAAAGAGACCAAGCTGGCTAGGTGAGCACGCCTTTATGGGTTCCCCAGGGGGTTGGGATGGACTGGAGAGAGGCAGCCGGCTAGGAGAGGGTGCCTTTATGGGTTTCCCAGGGCGTGGGGGCGGTGGCCAGCACAGGCAGCTTCATGTTGTGCCAAAGGAAGTCCAAGAAGGTGGCGGCCTGGAGTGTCCGGCTGAGCCGCTGAAAGTGCCGCTCTGGGGAGGACAGAGGGAGGTCGGGGGGGATCCACACCCCCCCCAGGATGTCCCCAACCCCAGGCTGTGCCTGCGTACCAGTGTAGGGCAGCAGGGCCTCCAGCGCCGCACGCACGCCTTCGTAGGCCAGCAGCTCCTCGGGGGCCTCGTGCCGTAGCAGCACACCCAGCACGGCCTGGGCCTCGTGGCAGTGGCGCGAGTTGGTATTCCACGTGACGCAGAAGCGCAGCAGGGCCTCTGTGGGCGACAGGACCATCACCCTCTCGCCCAGTCAATCCGCCTTGACTGGCCCCTGCCCACTGGGCCACCCATCCTGACTGGCCCCTAACCTTTCTGGTCTCGCCTCAGTCGGAGCATGGTGGCTTCTAGCTTCTCAGAGGCCTCAGGGTCCCTTCGGATGGCTGTGGGAGGAGGAAAGGCTGAGCTAGGGACAGCAGAGCGCAGTGGTCCAGAGACCCGGCTCCTCACCCCCAGGGGTGGGCCCTGACCCTGGATGACTGTCAGCACGGTGTGGGGCCGATCCAGGGAGATGGCCAGGCCCAGCGCCCGCAGGTACCGCTTCTCATGCAGCAGGTTGTCCAGCTCTTGCTGCCTGCCAGGAGGGGAGGAGAGGCCAGTGAGGGTCGCTGGCTGGGGCTGCAGGCAGAGCTATCCGAGTCAGCAGGTGGTGAGCCTGGTGCTCAGCCTCAGTTTCCCTATAGCACAGAGCAGGAGTGGTGCAGGGAGAGGCGCCACTGCCCTGGCCTTACCTGACCACCTGCTCCTCCTGCCTGGCCTGCTCCTCTGCCTGCTCCGCCTCGGTCACATCCTGGGGTGAGACTGGGGTCAGATGGGGCCCCCATGCCACCCCGCCTCCTCCCCACCCTCAGGCCCACAACCTTCCAGAGGATGACTCGGGAGTCGCTGGCGCCAGTGAGGGCGCGGTCATCTAGCCGGCTGCAGTGCAGCCCCCAGACCTTGTCATCGTGGGCATCCAGCGTCCGCACACACTCGTTGTTCTTGATGGTCCAGAGCTTCACAAGGCCATCTGAGCCGCTGGGTTTGGGTGGGGAAAGGCTCAGCATCAGGCAGCTCCCCCACCTGGCCCCACTGCTGCCCCATCCCAGCCCACTCACCTGGACAGCAGCTGTGTGCCCCGGCTCACAAAGGCCACCTTCAGCACGGAAGCATCGTGCCCCTCAAATGTCTGCAAGGTTGAGGTAGGGCATGAGAGGTCACCAGGGGGAGAGGTGTGGAGGGCCTGGAGCACTGCTTACCTTGAGACAGCTGAAGTCCTGGAGCGCCCAGAGCTTGACGGTGCCGTCAGCTGAGGCTGTGGCCAGCACCTGGTCCATGGGAGAGAACTGGACACACCAGAGGCCACGCCGGTGGCCTGAGAAGACGCCCAGCAGCTGGCACTGTGGCAGGGCCCAGAGCTTGGCCGTGCGGTCCTGTGAGCCCGTGGCCAGCAGCTTGTCATTGGGGGCAACAGCCACGCTGTTGATGTCCTGGCAATGGGAGGAGGTGGTGGCTCAGCATCCCCACCCCCCTGCCAGCAAGGGCTAGGCCACACCCCCACCCCAGTGGCTATGGATTCACCTTATCGTGGCAGCGCTGAGTGGTCTGGGCCTGCAGGAGGACAGGGCCACTGTCTGGGGCTGTGTTCTTAGACAGCAGGGCTCTGGGAAGGGGCCACAGCTTCACAGTGCAGTCCTGGCTGCCTGTCACCAGGAAGGACTCCTTCAGCCTGTGGCCCAACAGGGGAGGGAGGAGACACAGCTGAGCCCCTGCCAGCCTTGATGGACAGCTCCCAACAGGGCCAGCCTGGGAGCCCCCAGCTCAGACCATGGGGCCTGTCCCAGGATGCAGATTGGCCTGGGTCACCTCTAGGCACCTGAAGGACCAAGCCCTGCCTACACTGTCCACCTGCAGCACCTGGTGACTCAGCTCCAGCCACAGGACCCCAGCCCTACCCGCAGGGGTCCCCTTTCCACCTGGGCCTGATGCAGACTCCCTCTCTCTGCCCCAGCGCTCTTCCCCCTTTAACCACTTTCCCAGGGATACTTCTGAGGACTGCCCCAAGGCACCTAGGGACTCCCCCATCCTGTTCTGTTCCACATGTCTGGGCTGGAGCCTCAAAGAGCAAGCCAGTACTGCTGCCGCCTCCCCAGATCCCTGAGCGACAGCCCCTGCTGGCAGGCCTGGGCATCCACCTCCCTGACACTCTGGGCCCAGCCCCGACTCACTCACTACCTAGAACAGCAGATGGTGCCGACACTGTGCGTATGGCCGGAACCCTGAGCCACGCAGACCACCTGGCCAGCCTTGTTCATCCTCCAGATTCGGACACTCTGATCCTGGGGAAAGGGAGTGGAGGAGAGAGGCTGGTCTGTGGGCCTACCGTGTGGCCTCCCCGCCTAGTGCCCCTGCCCCTACCTCTCGGAGCACCTCACCTTGGCACAGCTGGCAAAGAGCCACCCCTTCCGGAACACGTCCAGAGCCAGAACGATATCTGAAAACATGTTGGGGGGAGGTAGAGGTCACAGGGCAAGATGGGGGAAGGGAAGCCAGCAAGGGACCCAAGTGGGTCCCAGGGTGTCAGGTGGGCTGGCCCCACTCACCTGTGTGGCCATGGAGGATCTGGCAGGCTGATGTCTGCAGCTCAAACACTTTCAGGCAGGGGCTGTTGGAGGCCACGATGATGTGGGAGTCCTCAGGCCCAAGAAACCGGACATCCAGGACCTCCTCACTATAGCCAGCGAACTATAGAGGGGCGGGAGGCAGGAGATGTGAGCCAGGACCCAGCAAGAGGAGGGCTGGCATCCACAGCCCCTCAGGCTAAGCAGGGGCAGATGTGCACCTGTTTCTGCAGCCGCAGGGAGCGAGCCTCGTAGAGCAGCAGGTTGTGGTCGGCAGTGGCGCTGAGGAGCAGGCCAGCGGTGCGGGCCAGGGTGCAGTGGGTCAGCTCCCGGCCAGGGCCCGGTGGCCGGGCCTGTGTGTACACACACTGCCCAGAAGCTGCCTCCCACACGCGCAGAATGCCTGGATGGGTGGCGACAGGCTGTGAGACTCTAAGGTTCACAGGCCTTCCCCAGCCCCTACCACCTGCCTGTGGCCCGGCCCCACACACCTTGGTCGCCAGCTGTCAGGAAGTGCAGGCCTGGGGACTTCACACCCAGCTCGGATGCCGGCTCCTCTGGCAACAGCACAGCGGTCTCCACGCTCTGGAGACGAACTGGGTCACAGGCTGCTGACACCCCCCCCAACCCAACTCACCAGGCCTGGCCTCCAGGCGTCCCTACCTCAAACACCGGCACAGTCCTCGTGGCCTGGTGGCTCTGAAGGTCCCAGATGATACAGATCTTGTCACGGCCCGAGCTGGGGGAGCAACAGCTACCTGAGGTCAAGTCTGAGCCTCAGCCCCCACTTTCCCAGCCTCTCCGCCTACCAGGGCATGCTCCTGACCTGAGCATAGTGTGGCCGTCGGCACTGAAGGCCAGTGAGGTGACAGCGCTGTAGTGGGCAGTCAGCACAGCCAGGCACGACCGATCCTGCAGTGACCACACGCGGATGGCGGCATCTGCGGCCGAGGAGAAGAGCAGCAGGCGTGTGGGGTCTGGGTGGAAGGCCACCAGGCTGTAGGCGGGACAGGGTGGGTGAGCTGAGCAGCCTGGGGGTGCCTCTGTACTCTCCCTCACCCCCCATTCCCCACACTCACTGCACAACACCAGGCGAGCCTCGGAAGTGGTGTGTCCCATAGTGCCGCACAATGTCCCAGACGCGCACAGCCCCGTCACAGCCGCCTGCGGGGAAGCAAGGTGAGGGGCTGGAATGCCCAAAGACCCTCCATCTTTGTCTGCCACCCACCTGCCGAGCAGGGCCCTACCTGTGGCTAGCAGCGTGGAGGTGGGGTCAAAGGCCATGGTGGCCACGGGGGCTGTGTGTATCGCCTTCCAAAGGCGGGTAACGCTGCCCTCTCGCCAGGCCCACTGAGCCAGCAGCAACGCCCGGCTGGCTGTCACCAGCACCTAGGGGAGGATACAGGTCAGCAGAGGGGTGACAACGCTCTCCTTGCAGCTTCCTGGACTCAGTCCCCACTGGGCCCCACCCTGCATACCTCATCATCAGGGCTGAGATCAAAGGCAGTGATATCCTCCTGATCCTCCTAGGGGAAAGAGCAGTGTGCAGAGAGCTGTGTAAAGGGGCTGGCCCCGCCACTTGCCCCTCTCCCACTCAGGTTGCCCTCACCTGCTCCAGACTCTGCAGCACGGCCCCTGAGGCCACCTCCAGAATGTTGACTCTGGTGCCACAGACGCAGAAGAGGTGCTGGCCAGTCTGGTCCAGCTGGGGACAAAGGGGTCTCAGCCAGGCAACATTTTGCACCCCCTGCAGCCTCCAGCTGCCCACCCCCAACCCTTCCCCAGACCCATACCTGTGCTTTTCCACCCTTGTAGAAAGGTTCGATTTTGCGCTCCACAACATAGCTAGAAGAAGAGTGGGGGGAAGTGAGCGCCACCCACCCCCTCGATCCCCAGGGTCCAGCCCTGTGCTGGGTGTTCCTCTTGAGGTGACCACAATGGCCCCTGCCCTTGAGTTTCAGGGCAACAGCAGGGGCGGGGCAGGGGGTGGAACCAGCAGCACTGCAGGGGGCTGTGGCCACTCCCAAGTCACTGAGAATCAGAGATTCAGAGCTGGCTGGTGATCCCTGAGGCAGTAGGGGGTGGGCCTGCGTTAGGCGGAGGCAGACCAACACCCCTGGGCTCCCAGGGATTCCTCAGGAGAGCCAGGTGAGTCCCTGGGGCCACCCCTGCTGGCGGTGGGTAGCCAAGTCTGGGTAGCAGCCCAGAGCACAACCTCCTAGCATTTTCATCCCTGAGATCTGGTATACCTCTTCCCTTCCCTGGCTCCTCCCTCTGTCCCCAGGCCTACCCAGAGCCCAGGTCCCATGAGCAGCTGTCATTTCTGTGACCTCAACCTGCCCCTCCTCCTTCCCTCTCCACTGCCTCCACCTGGTCCAGATCATCACAATCTCTGGCCACTTCACTGGGCCCCCTATCTACGTCTTAATCCTGCTGCTAGGTGCCTTTCGGAACATAACTGAAGACGTCACTGCCCCACGTCAGACCCTCACTCTGTCCACATTACCTCCCAGACCTTCTCCAGAAGGGCTTCCGACAACCTTGCCTCTGCTTCCCTTCCCTCTCATGGCCCACCATGGTTCCTTTCCCAGCCCCTGGGACAGGTTTCCCATCTTCCCCCTGTCCCCTGTGTGCGGCCTGGGCTTCCCTTCCCAGATGTCAGGGCCTGGCTCAGTGCGCTTCTGGAAGCTTGACTGCCAAGACGAAAGCAACCCTTCAGCCCCTGAATCCAGTCGACCCTCCCGTGGCGGTGCTGCCAGCCAGGGGCTTTCCTTTACCAGTGCTTGGCACAACCAAAGCCCCACAGCCGCGGATGGAAATGATAATCCCATGAGACTGCACTGCCAGGGCGGGGGCACCAGCAGTGCTGTTCAGCAAAGGCTTGGGGAGTGACAGGGCACAGGACTGAGGGCCTCCTGAGCTTCTGCAGGCCTGCCCCTCTCCTGCTGTCTCCCTGGTCCCTGGAGAAGAGGGTTCGCGGGTGAAAGTCCTCAGGCCGTCTCCCGCCGTTTGCCAGGACCAGCCCCGACCTACCCTCAGCCCTCCCCTCCTCTCATCCGGACTTCTGGTCCCCACTTCACCCCACAGCCGGCTTCTCGTTGAGCCCACGCTGCTGCGCCCGGGCTTAGGTCGCTGTCCTCCCCGAGAGCAGTCGGGGCCTGCTCTCCCACCTGGTATCATCGCAGCCTCCGCGACCCCGCGGGCCGGCGCACACATAGCCTCTCCCCTCCCAGACCCCAGTAGGTACCCACTCCACGCGCGCCTCCGCTACGCCTGCTGCGAACCTAGCTCCCTCCCCGCGTGGCCCCAGCGCTCCGAGCTTACTTGGCCTTGAAGCGGCCCACTCCGGCCGCGGTCTCTGCCATGTTGCGGCTGCCGCTCCCGCCGAAACCGGCTAGAACCCCGGCAGCATCCACCGCGTGAGGAGTGAGGTTGGCACGGAGCTCCGCACTCCCGGCGCGCTGCGATGACGTCACCACGCGCGCTCCCTGTGACGTCGCCGGTGCCGCGCGCTTGTCGCCATCTTTGCTGCAGGGAGTGGTAGCTGCATCAGGGAGTGGTAGCTGCATCCGGAAGTGGAAGCGGGCGGAGGCGTTTCCGGCATGGAGGGTGGGCTGTGAGCCGTGACGGTGCTGTGCGGGCCGGTGGGGGTAAACAGGCGTGGGTGACATCGCCGTAGCCTGGCCTGGTTTTTTTTTTTTTTTTTGAGATAAAGTTTCGCTCTTGTTACCCAGGCTGGAGTGCAATGGCGTGCACCGCAACCTCGGCTTCCTGGGTTCAGGCAATTCTCCTGCCTCAGCCTCCTGAGTAGCTGGGATTACAGGCACGCGCCACCACGCCCAGCTAATTTTTTGTATTTTTAGTGGAGACGAGGTTTCATTATATTGACCAGGATGGTCTCGATCTCTTGACCTCGTGATCCACCCGCCTCGGCCTCCCAAAGTGCTGGGATTACAGGCTTGAGCCACCGCGCCCGGCCCGTTTGTTTGTTTGTTTTTTAAGACGGGTTTCACCATGTTGGCCAGGATGATCTTGAACTCCCAACCTCAGGTGATCCACCCGCTTTGTTCTCCCAAAGTGCTGGGATTACTGGCGAGAGATAGGGCGCCTGGCCAGCCTGGCCTTTTGATAGCAGTATAAAAAGGCATTCGTAGCCAGCGTTTACTCCTGCCCTTTGGCGTTCTGGAAATTGGGGCAGCAGCAGTTGGGTGAGGTCCAAGCGTAGAGCGGTGAACCTGACCCTGCCTCGGGGCTTGCAGTGTGGCTCATGATAAATAACACAGGAAAATGAATAAACCGTGTAATTTCAAAGGCATTCATATATTGAGCACCTTCTGTGTGCAAAGCACTGTTCTTGGCACTGGGGGAACACCAGAGAAGAAACTAAACGGGAGAAGAGTGATAGTTGCTAAGCGCTGTGGAAAAAAACAGAAGGGATGGAGTGGAGGGGACCCCGGAGGAGGCTGTATTGAGGTGACTCCTGAGCAGACACAAGTTCTCGAAGCAGGGAGCCCTGTGGTGACCTTGGGAACGAATGGTGCTGAGGAATGGTCAGGGCACAGGCCCTGGGCTGGGGGTGCCAGGCGTTGAGTAGCAGCAAGCCGAGTGGCTGCAGAGAGTGGGTGCAGAGGGCAGAAGCCATGCCGTTGCCTGTGAGCCGTGGGGAGGAGTTGGCTTTTACTCCGAATTCACGGTTTTGAGCCATTTGTGCTACTGGCTGTGAAGTTGGTAGAACAGTCTGGTAGAAAGTAACTGGGCCAGGCTGGGTGCAGTGGCTCACTCCTGTAATCCCAGCACTTTGGGAGGCTGAGGCAGGCAGATCATGAGGTCAGGTGTTCGAGACCAGTCTGGCCAACACGGTGAAACCCTGTCTCTACTAAAAGTACAAAAATTAGCTGGGCGTGGTGGCGGGAGTCTGTAATCCCAGCTACTTGGGAGGCTGAGGCAGGAGAATTGTTTGACCCTGGGAGGTGGAGGTTGCAGTGAGCTGAGATCACAATGCTACTGCACTCCAGCCTGGACGACGGAGCAAGACTCTGTCTCAAAAAAAAGAAGAAAAAAAGTCTCAGGAAAAAAAGAAAAAAGAAAAAAAAGTAAAGAAAATAAAAAAAAAGAGGGCCGGGCGCGGTGGCTCAGGCCTGTAATCCCAGCACTTTGGGAGGCCGAGGCGGGTGGATCACGAGGTCGAGAGATGGAGACCATCCTGGTCAACATGGTGAAACCCCGTCTCTACTAAAAATACAAAAAATTAGCTGGGCATGGTGGCGCGTGCTTGTAATCCCAGCTACTCAGGAGGCTGAGGCAGGAGAATTGCCTGAACCCAGGAGGCGGAGGTTGCGGTGAGCTGAGATTGTGTCACTGTACTCCAGCGTGGCAACAGAGACTCCAAATCAAAAAAAAAAAAAAAAAAAAAAGATTCCAGGAGAACTTCCCCAACCTAACAAGGCAGGCAAAAAACAAAAAACAACAACAAAAAAAAAAAAAAAAAAAAAGAGAGAAAAACAACAAAAAAGATGAAAGCAGGCAAATGGAGGCAAAGGGAAGAGCTCTCTAGGCAGGGGGAATAGCCAGGCCAAGCCCAGTGGTGTGACAGAACACAGAGCCCATGGAGAAAGCCCAGAGTAGCCCTGGGAGGAAGGGAGTCATGCCTGGAAAAGGCAACAGGGATGCACAGGTGACAGCTGTGAGGGGCACAGGTGACGGTTGTGAGGCCTGCAGGCACACAGGTGGGCCAGGCCTGGGCTCTGCGTTTATTTATTTAAAAAGTACCTCGGCCCTGAGCACCCCCCAACCTCAGCCCAGAAGCTGCCTTCTGGGGCAGCCTCGGCCTCGGCCGCCTCCTGTGGGGTGCCCTCCAGCAGAGCGGTGTCTTCCTCCAGGAAGTTGCCCAGCTCTGCCAGCTCTCGGCGGACAATACTGGTGGCCCGGTGCAGCCGGCGCACACGCCTCAGCAGACACAGCAGCAGGGTTCGACTGCGCTCCTGGCGCGCGCTCCAGGCGTTGTGCAGCTCTCGATAGCAGTTGTGGTGAGCATGCTTGGTTGGGTCCAGGGTGGCCCCGCAGCCCAGGGGGCAGCGCTGCTGGGCCCTTTGCTGGCAATGCTTCCGGTGCTCAGCCAGGGCCCCACGCGGGACCCGCGAGGTGCAGCCTTCGTTGGGGCAGGCCATTGGCTCGAAGGGGCACAAATCCTGGTGCCCTTTGCGATGGGCCAGGGGGCATGTCACCATGCAGCCAGCGTTGGCGTTCTTGCACTGAGGGTGAAGGAGAACACGTGTGAAGCAACCCAGGCGGGATGCTCATGGGATCCCCCGTCCCTGGCTTCCCACTCACCAGGAACCAGGGAACCGGGAGCCTCCCGCACTTTTCTAACTCCAGTGAGGTGGTGGAGAGAGAACATGGGCCAAGTGCATGGAAGTGGGAAGAAGGCAGACATTCCAGGGAGGGGATGAGGCCTGACGCTTGGGGAACTGAAAGGTCCACAACTGGGTTGGTCTGGCGAGTGGTATGGATGCCAGGCTCCCCTCCCTGCCCCTGGAGTCTCGTTTTGTTGCCCAGGCTGGAGTGCAATGGCATGATCTCGGCTCACTGCAACCTCTCTGGTTCAAGCAATTCTCCTGCCTAAGACTCCCAAGTAGCTGGGATTACAGGCGTGTGCCACCATGCCTGGCTAATTTTTGTATTGTGTGAGTAGAAACAGGGTTTCACCATATTGTCCAGGCTAGTCTTGAACTTGTGATCCACCTGCCTCAGCCTCCCAAAATGCTGGGATTACAGGCATGAGCCACCCATGCCCATCTCAGGTTTTCCTTTTAACCTCAGTTTACCCATCTGTAAAACTAGAGGGCTGGAGAGTAGTGGCCAGCACACCAGGCACTTCATCCTCTAAAAATCCTTTATAATCTGCATTTTACACTGAGACCCCAGGGGATTGGAAAGGTTAGGTGACTTGCTTAAAGTCACATAGCAACTAAGCAGTAGAGCCACGATTCAAACTCAGCCATGTCTAATCACCCAAGACTGTACTAATTTCTCTCCGAAGATGGGAATTCTCCTTACCCCCTAACCTGGCCCTGCCCCACCCCTACAAGGGTGAGAAGGGTCGAGGGTCGGGGGAGTGGGTCCTTCGAGCTACCTTGACTTCCAGGCGGCTAATGGTTTTCCGGAGTTTATTCTCGTGAACGATCTTTCTCCTTTTCACAGGTTTCCTGCAGCACGGACAGGTCTTTTGTCTGAAGGAGGCATGAGTAGGGGTGAGTGTTAGGAATGGGAAGGGAACCCTGGTCAGCTCTTCACTCGGTGACCCAGGTGGTCCCTTCATCAGCTAGAGGAGGCATCATGGCATATTACAGGGAGCCCTCAGCTATAAGGCTGGGGCAGGGGTCTGCAGACACCACCCAGAGAGGGGCACATGTTTTAGTTTAGGGAGATTTGGTGGCTGAGTCTTCTGGCTGACTTTTCCCCTGTTGTGGGCCACAGCAGTGCCCCGTCTCACTGCTGCCCTCCCAGCACCGTGGGTACCCGGTGGCACCTGGTTAGCCACTGGAGGATGCACTTTTTGCAGAAGATGTGGCTGCATGGCAACCTCGCTGGCCTCTTGAGAACCCCATGGCAGACGGAGCACAGGAAGTTGGAGTCCGGAGGGCTGGCGAAGAGGTTGAGATCATACCCGCCACTCTGCAAAGGTCAAGCTGGTGTCAGGACCTGGCTGGGAAAGTGATCCAGTCCCCGGTCCACATATCTAGCAAAAGAGCCCCAGAAAGCTTTGGGTGGGGAGATGGGCCACAGGAGAACTTCAAGTAGAGGGGCTGGCACAGCACCCACTTTGAGGGAGCAACTGTGGGGGTTAGGGCCCCCATCCCAGGACTACTAATTCCTGGCTGGAGACAGTGGCTTTAGCCTGGAGTTAGACCTATCCAGAGCCTTCCAGAAGGTTTCCTTGTAGCATATGGGGCCTGCAACTCATTGCCCACCCTTTCCAAGTGGAGTAGGGTCGATCCCTGGACAACTGGGCATGTTTCTGGAGTCTCAGGGCTGAAGGCAAGAGGGCCCCAGGCTCACCATTATCTGTGACTGGACAGCAGCACCACAGGCCCCCAGGGCTCAGGAGCCTGTATTTAACAGTGGGTGTGGGCTGACATCACAATGGCATTGTCCAGCTCAAGCCAATCACACACTGGTTCAGGGCCCAGAAAACCTGCACAGCCCAGCAACAAACACAGATAGCCAGGCACAGTGGCTCACACCTGTAATCCCAGCAGTTTGGGAGACCAAGGTAAGGAGGATCACTTGAGCCCAGGAGACCAGCCTGCGCAACTCAGTGAGACCCCCACCTCTTTTTTTCTTTTTTTTTTTTTGTGACGGAGTTTTGCTCTTGTTACCCAGGCTGGAGTGCAATGGCGTGATCTCAGCTCACCGCAACCTCCGCCTCCTGGGTTCTGGCAATTCTCCTGCCTCAGCCTCCTGAGTAGCTGGGATTACAGGCACGTGCCACCACGCCCAGCTAATGTTTTGTATTTTTAGTAGAGACGGGGTTTCACCATGTTGACCGGGAGGGTCTCGATCTCTTGACCTCGTGATCCACCCACCTCGGCCTCCCAAAGTGCTGGGATTACAGGCTTGAGCCACCGCGCCCGGCCAACCCCCACCTCTTTAAAAAAAAAAAGTCACAGGGCTGGGTGCAGTGGCTCACCCCTGTAATCCTGACACTTTGGGAGGCTGAGGTGGGCGGATCACTTGAGATCAGGAGTTTGAAACCGAACATGATGAAACCCCGTCTCTACTAAAAATACAAAAAAATTAGCCGGGCAAGGTAGCAGGCGCTTGTAATCCTAGCTACTTGGGAGGCTGAGGCAGAATTGCTTGAACCCAGGAGGCAGAGGTTGCAGTGAGCTGAGATCGTGCCACTGTACTCCAGCCTGAGTGACAGAGAAACTCTGTCTCAAAAATAGAAAAAAAGTCACAGGGAAGGAGTAGGGCAGCAGGACAGCTCTTGGACCTTGGGATAGGTCAATGGAGCCCCCGGGCTTGAAGGCAGCTGACAGCTGATCCTCAGAAGCACTGGGTCAGAACCAAGCTTCATGGAGCTATTTCCCCAAGGCCAAGGCTTCACTGGGATCCTAGGGATTGCTACGTTCTCCTAGGGCTTAGGGGCTTTGGGCACTGACCCACTGGGGGTCTTCACTTAGGATCCAATACTCAGGTGGTAGCTCCAGGGCAACAAGAACTAAACTCTCCGGTGACCTGCTGCCCCAGAGCAAGGGGACCAGCCTCCCAAACCAGGTGTCTGACCCACTCCAGCCTAGCATCCTTGCGTTTATCTAGGCCTAGTTGGTCAAATCCTTTAGAATCTCACCTGGTCTCACAAAACAGCCACTCAAGTCTGAGCTTCCCATACTTGGTAGCGCTGTTGGCCCCACCTAGCAACCCTTAAGTAGGCCAGGGCACTTTACCTGCGAGTGTAGCGTTTACCTGAGGCATGCATGGCCAGATGACTGTTCCCATCTGGCTCTGCCACTTAAGAAGTGTCTGGCCGGGAGCGGTGGCTCAAGCCTGTAATCCCAGCACTTTGGGAGGCCGAGGCGGGTGGATCACGAGGTCAAGAGATCGAGACCCTCCTGGTCAACATGGTGAAACCCCGTCTCTACTAAAAATACAAAAAATTAGCTGGGCATGGTGGCGCGTGCCTGTAATCCCAGCTACTCAGGAGGCTGAGGCAGGAGAATTGCCTGAACCCCGGAGGCGGAGGTTGCGGTGAGCCGAGATCGCGCCATTGCACTCCAGCCTGGGTAACGAGAGCGAAACTCCGTCTCAAAAAAAAAAAAAAAAAAAAAGAAGTGTCTGACCTTAAAAGTCACCTGCCAACCTCCTACATCCTATCCTTGTGTCCAAGCAGAGCTGGGATGGCCAGGAAAAAAGAAGAGGCATCTCGCTAGGGTTCTCCCCAACACAGCGTGAACAGATGCCACCTGCCAGGCTGATAGGCGGGACGGGGCCCCAAGAACACCCGCACGCAGTTAGACAAACAACTTTATTTGGAAGACGTTTCCAGCCGAGTCTCCCCGACCCCACAGTCCTGGCGACGTCGGTCTCAGGCGTGGGAGAACCAGTGCCCTGCGGAGAGAAGACAGGGCTAAGGGTCAGTGGCCAGGGCCAGACATCGCGAGCGACGGCATCCGGGCGGAGGCCGCGGCGCCTGTCGGGGCCTGGGTTTCACCGCCGCACACAGAGCAGCGCGTGGTGAGCTGAGGCCCCCGGAGGATCTAGGCGCCGAATCTCACCCGCGGCCACGGCCAAAGCCGGGGGTGATTTTCAACCAACGCCGTACTCCCCAACTACCAGGGGAATGCGAACAGCACACACAGCAGGACTCACCTACGCTGCGAGACTGGCGCACCCGACACGCGAGCGTTTGCAGCCGCTTTTCCGGCGACGTAGATTTCCCGGGCCGCGGCTGGCGCCAGACGTGCAGGCGCACGCAGAGCGCGCTAAGGGCGGAGCATCATGGAGCCAATCACAGGCTGTCTTATGGGAGTTTGTCGCGCTCCCGTCTGGGGCGGGGCAGCGGAGATCGCGCGGGACTTGGCTTGGTATAAAAGCTGCCTCCGCGCAGGCGTTGCTCTTCTTCTTCGACATAACACGTGAGTCGTAGGGCAGGCTTCTGCAGGCCTCGGCGGGGGCGGCGGGAATCTGTGGACATCGGATCCGGTCTACTTGCGCTCCTGGGCGGGAGCCCGCTTCTGGGTCTCGCGGGTGTCTGCTAGATGACTGAGTTTCACTAACTGGTTCTTGTCGCTTTCTCCAGCAAATGGCGGATGACGCCGGTGCAGCGGGGGGGCCCGGAGGCCCCGGGGGCCCTGGGATGGGGAACCGCGGTGGCTTCCGCGGAGGTTTCGGCAGTGGTATCCGGGGCCGGGGTCGCGGCCGGGGCCGGGGCCGGGGCAGAGGCCGCGGCGCTCGTGGAGGCAAAGCCGAGGATAAGGAGGTAGGTACTAGCTACGCCCTGTGTCGTGCCCTTGGGCGACGCCGGGGAGCGGCCCTGGTCACCCGCGCCTTTTCTGTTTCCAGTGGATGCCTGTCACCAAGTTGGGCCGCCTGGTCAAAGACATGAAGATCAAATCTCTGGAAGAGATCTATCTCTTCTCTCTGCCCATTAAGGTATTTGTCGGTCGTTGGGGCGTTGAGGAAAGGCGATCCCGGAATCGGCTGGGGTTGGAGGGTTGACATCTGCCATTGACCCGCATTAAAGGGGGCCCAGTGTCTCGTTTGAGAGGTTGAGGTTGTGTTGTGAGCTGGCTGAGGGGAGAGGTTTACGGTTGGAGGGAGAAGGCTGGATGGATACCTGAGCGAAGCAAGAGCCACAAAAGGCGTGTCGGCGCATTTTCTCACATTCGCTGTGAGATTGTTTACCCCGTTGCCGAAGAGCTGAGACAGAAACACAGTGTTTTGTTAATGCCATCCAAGAGGGTGACATTCAGGTTGTGGTAGGACTTTAAGGGTTAGCAAATTGGCATGGTTCGTGTGTATGGGACAGCTGTCAGCGACGTGCAGTGGGGAAAGGCTAATGGTACAATTGTCATGTGAGCGTTCCCTCCAGCAAGGTACGGTGGTCGTGGCTTGGATAAAGTAAAAGGAAACAGGAGCGGAAAGCCACATCTCATCAAACAAGTGGGAAAGGACAAATAGGGAGAAACGATTGAGGAAATGTAGGATTATGGTAACTTTACGTTTACATATATAGGCTTCCATTAAAACTGCCAAAACTAAGCAGAAAGGAAAAACAGTGGGGAAGGAACCCAAGTTGAGGGTTCACGACTTGGGTATTTTTGTGTGTGTGGGGTTCACGACTTGGGTATTTTTGTGTGTGTGAGGCAGAGTCTTGCCTTGTTGTCTGGGCTGGAGTGCAGTGGTGTGATCTCGGGTCACCCCAACTTCAGCCTCTTGAGTAGCTGGGATTACAGGCATGAGCCACTGCACCTGGCCGTGACTTTGGTTCTTGTGTGGGATAATGGTGTTGAATTTTTCTTTGAGGCGCTCTTCACAATTCTCCTGTTTGTTGCAGGAATCTGAGATCATTGACTTTTTCCTGGGGGCCTCTCTCAAGGATGAGGTTTTGAAGATTATGCCGGTGCAGAAGCAGACCCGTGCTGGCCAGCGCACCAGGTTCAAGGTACTCAGCTGTCCTGGAGAGGGCTGAGCCGGACTTGGCTTTCCGGGCCTCTCCCAGCTCTGCGTAGTTGCACTTGGCTTCACCCGTGTGACTTTCGTAATGGGGAGAGAGAGAAAAGATCTCCTCAGGACCTCAGATGGGCCTTACTGTGGCCTCTCTTTACTTGAGGGGCGCAACAGGCCCTGGGGTGTAGGCATGATGGGTGTAGAGCCACCGGCCGCCTCATACATGTCTCTTCACAGGCGTTTGTTGCTATTGGGGACTATAATGGTCACGTCGGTCTGGGTGTTAAGTGTTCCAAGGAGGTGGCCACTGCCATCCGTGGGGCCATCATCCTGGCCAAGCTCTCCATTGTCCCTGTGCGCAGAGGCTACTGGGGGAACAAGATCGGCAAGCCCCACACCGTCCCTTGCAAGGTAGGCTGGTGTGAGGTGGTGGGCCTGCCATGGGGCAGGCTCCCTTGGGCCCTCGTCTCCTGACTCCTGTCCTCACCAGGTGACAGGCCGCTGTGGTTCTGTGCTGGTGCGCCTCATCCCCGCGCCCAGGGGCACTGGCATCGTCTCAGCACCTGTGCCCAAGAAGCTGCTCATGATGGCTGGTATCGATGACTGCTACACCTCAGCTAGGGGTTGCACTGCCACCTTGGGCAACTTCGGTAGGTGACCCGTGCATGGGCATAGCCACAGCCTCTCAGCTCCGCTTAATCACATGGGTTCAGTATGTGCTTGGCGTGTTTTCAGGGAGGCAGAGAAAGGCTCTCCTAATGCACGACAGACCTGCCCAGAATGGCCTCTCTGTTCCTAGGAGGGCGACAGTTTTTGGGATGGGGGTCTTGCCTCAAGCACACTACTGACCTTGCTGGGGTTCTTCTGTTGTTCAGCCAAGGCTACGTTTGATGCCATCTCTAAGACTTACAGCTACCTGACCCCTGATCTCTGGAAGGAGACTGTATTCACCAAGTCTCCCTATCAGGTACTGGGCCTGCCTGGTAGGGTGGGGTGGGGTGGGGCTGGCCACTGCCTAGACAAGCACAGGCTCCAACAAGGTCACATCTTGTGCTCTAGGAATTCACGGACCACCTCGTCAAGACCCACACCAGAGTCTCCGTGCAGAGGACCCAAGCTCCAGCTGTGGCTACAACATAGGGTTTTTATACAAGAAAAATAAAGTGAATTACATTGCATTTTTCCTGTGTCCTGCATGTTTAGTGGTGGTTTGAATCCGGGAGGTGGGGCCAAGAGATCACACTAGAAACACAGGTTGAAGGGCTTTATTTCAGCAATAGCGCAGTCATAGGGAGCCACATGGCAGGGCACCCACAGCTGCCTCAGGAGGTGGCAGCAGCAGCAGCTGCTTTTGCAGCTTTTCTCTCTTCCAGCATCCTCTGCTTCTGTTTGGCCAGACATTTCCTGGCAGAACCGAGGGCTCCCAAGTCCTGATCTGAGAAAGCAATGGAGACAAGCTGGGGACCCAGGCCTGTGCTATATGCAAATGGAGCATGCTCAAGTGGGCAGAAGGGAGAGGGCTGGATTCGCAGTAGTTTCTGGCCCCTAGGCCTCAGGAGGCCTTGGGCAGTGACATTGACCACAGAAGGGGGGGGGGGTGTCACTCACAGCGATCCTGGTAGGCCTTGGCCACCTGGGTGAAGAGCTCCACTTCCTTGGTACAGTTCTGCTTGTAGTTTTCTCCCTCCCTCTGCTGACAGGCCTTGAGCCGTTCCTGGACAATGTTGACAATTTCTTGATCAACTTTGCTGGAGAAGAAAGGGAGCAAGAGAGGCTATTCACAAAGAATCCTTTCTCTGTACCCAGGAAGGAAAGTCGAAAGCAAGATCTTGGGGTCTGACTCCTCCCACATCACCTCTGAGATCTGGACATATTCTGGGTGGCTGAGGACACCCCGTGGCATCCCAGGGACCCCTGACCCGGCAGCACACATGGTACAGGTCGCACTTCCAGCTCGGCTCACGTACTAGTCCCTCTTCCACTGCATCTCAGCTTCAAACATGCACAAGAGATCATCCTCCTTGCACTCCGTGATGTCTGGCACGCGGCGGTACTGCCGGTGGTAGTAGTAATACCTGTTCTTAGCGTGCTGCCGCTCTATAAATTCTGCAAAGACAAATCCACAGACTCAGCCCCATTGGGTTGGACAGGCTTTTAGCTCTGTTATTTCTCATAAGCCCACTGAAGAACTTTATGAATGTTCCAGCATTTAGAGAACAGGCAATTAGTCTCTAAGAAGTGTGGCCAGCCAGGCAATCCTGTGAAGGCCTAGGCTACAGCTGATGGAGAGCATTACCTTACTCTGCCCCTCACAACCCCACCAGCAGCTCATTCTCACACACGGGACTTACTGGGACGCAGCTCTGCCAATGCAACTCCCCCAGCTGCACAGGGAGCCTCCAACATGCAGAACTTGACCTCCTTACAGCCTCAGCTTCCCCACTGGGAAATGAACAAGCTAGACAGAGAGCTCACACATCCAGACACATAGGACAGAAGTATTCTAGGACTGCTACAAAAGAGGGAGCTGAGTCCACTGCCACACGGTTTCCGGATCCTTGGGGGATTGATTGGCAGACTTCATCCTCTTACAAAAGAACCACCAGAGTATGCTACACACCCCAGTGTTCAAAGAGAACTGGACCAGGCTGAGTGTGGTGCCTCACGCCTGGAATCCCAGCACATATGGAGGCCGAGGTGGAAGGATCACCTGAGGTCAGGAGTTTGAGACCAGCCTGGCCAACACGGTGAAACCTCGTGTCTACTAAAAATACAAAAATTAGCCGGGTGTGGTGGTGGGCGCCTGTAATCCTAGCTACCGGGAAACTGAGGCAGGAAAATTGCTTTAACAGGGGGCGGGGCGGGGCGAGGGGGGTAGTAGCGGGGGGAAGCAAAGGTAGCAGTGAGCGGAGATGGCGCCACTGCACTCCAGCCTGGGCAACAGAGCAAGACTCCAGCTCAAAAAAACAAAAACAAAAAAACTGAACTGGACATTCTCCTGGTTGGTTACAGAAATAGTGAATTTGGGCATCTCGGCCATCACCCAGACACCTGGTCATCTGGCAGTGAGACGGGTCTAACGAGCCCCAGAATTTAGATGCTTCACGGTGCAGACCCCCTCTTAACCTTTGAGAGGCGCCTGAGGCCAACGCTACAGTGGAGAGGTTCCCCGGGCGGCGGGAGCCGGAGAGCAGTGCGGGGTCCTGGGGCAGTGGGCGCTGGGTGCGGCATGGAGAGAGGAGTCCTGAGAAGAAGCGGGGCGTCCCGGGGTGCAGGGGAGATGAAGGGGTCCCGGGAGGTGAGGCCCAGGGTGCAGTGGGAGGCCAAAGGAGGGACGGAGCTCGGAGGTCTGCGGGGGTGGGAGGTGTTCCCAGAGCGACAGGACCCCGGGGGCATTGGGGGATCCAGGCAGGGTGCAGGTCCAGGGGTCTCCGGGGGCCGACGAGCGAACCCCGGGCTGGGTCCTCGTACCTCTCACGAGGGTCACGGGTCGGTCCACGATGAGGTCGAAGGCCTTCGTCAGGTAGACGATGGGGTTGGGTAGCCAAGTCTGCGGCGACAGCGCCGGGGTGCGGGTCGGGGGCTCGGGGTACACATCCTTGTCCCAGGTGTCAGGCATGGCGGTGGCAGGCGCGGACTCCGCTCCCGAACACGCCGCCCAGGCCTCCGGCTCGGTCCGGGCACTGCGGCCTAGGACGCCCGCTACCGAGGACGTCGAGGGCGGCTGCGCCTGCGCGCTGGCGGCCACGAGGCACCATGGGACTTGTAGTTCCCCGGCTCTGCCCGGCGCGGGCGGGACCCGCCTCGCCGCAGGGCGCCCCCTTGTGGGGCCTCCGTTCTCTATCTGTGCCCAGCGCCTGCGCGGTGCTGGGGGCTTATCTCGGTGCCTGCGGGCAGCCGCGAACCAGACAGATGCTTGCTTACCGCGAAAGAAACAGAGAACAGGCAACAGACAGGACTAGGAGGGAGTCATTAGGTTCCCATTGCGTGCCAGGTATTGTGTTGAGTGCAGTAGCGAAGAAGATAAACAGCCCGGCTCTGATGGAGAACAGAGGCCGTTAGAGCACACACGACAAAGTGAACAAATAACATGCAATTCCAAATGCCCTACTCCTCCAGGAAGTCTTCCCGGATTGCCTAGCTCTTACAGACTTATCTGGGTCCCCCTCTCTACCAGGGCCCCTCATGGACTGGCTGCTGCCAGTGAACCTGGGGGCCTGCCTGGGACAGGGCAGGAGGCAGGGCTTGCCCCTAGGCAGCTCATAGAGAGAAGGGACTCCTACTTTGGGCATAGAGCCCTCTGGCCGGCTTTGATGATTCTATCCTGGCCCTGGGCACTTTGGTGCTTCTAGGCAGCTCTGCTGAGCAGACCCCTGCTCGCACCTGTAATTACACCGGGCATGGCCCCTGGCTGGTATCCAGGAGGACACTGGTCATGTCCTGCCCTGAGGCTGAGGCCAGTGACAGAGCCATCAAACACTACAGACAAGCAGGATCTAAAGTCACAGAAACATCAGATCTTCACGTTATGAACTTTTTTTTTTTTTTGAGACAGAGTCTCACTCTGTTGGCCAGGCTGGAACGATCTCCGCTCACTGCAACTTCTGCCTCCTGGGTCCAAGTGATTCTCCTGCCTCAACCTCCCAAGTAGCTGGGACTACAGGTGCCCACCCACGCCTTGCTAATTTTTTTGTATTTTTAGTAGAGATGGGGTTTCACCATGTCACTGGTCTCAAACTCCTAACCTCAGATGATCCGGCCGCCTTGGCCTCCCAAACTGCTGGGATTACAGGCATGAGCCACCAGGCCCAGCCAAACTCGTGGAAAGAAATACGAACCATGGGCCGGGCACGGTGGCTCAAGCCTGTAATCCCAGCACTTTGGGAGGCCGAGGCAGGTGGATCACGAGGTCGAGAGATCGAGACCATCCTGGTCAACATGGTGAAACCCCGTCTCTACTAAAAATACAAAAAATTAGCTGGGCATGGTGGCTCATGCCTGTAATCCCAGCTACTCAGGAGGCTGAGGCAGGAGAATTGCCTGAACCCAGGAGGCGGAGGTTGCGGTGAGCCGAGATCGCGCCATTGCACTCCAGCCTGGGTAACAAGAGCGAAACTCCGTCTCAAAAAAAAAAAAAGAAATACGAACCATGAGACCTAAAGAATCTTGACATTTTAGTAGCCTAGAATCTTAGTATCTATTGATGTAAGCTCCACAGATCTTAGAGACATCATAGGCCTGAAAATCTCTAGGATTCCACTGCTACAGAACTTTACAACCATAGAATCTTTGAATGGAAAGTGATTTCAAGGGGCACAGTGGCTCACACCTGTAATCCCAGCACTCTGGGAGGCCAAGGCAGGTGTGTGGCTTAAGCTCAAGACTTGGAGACCAGCCTGGGCAACATAGTGAGGCCCCGTCTCTACAAACAATATAAAAATTAGTGGTGCATGGTGGTAAGTGCACATGGTCCCAGCTACTTGAGAGACTGAGGCAGGAGGCTGAGGCTACAGTGAGCACTATGACTGCACCACTACATTTCAACATGGGCAACAGAGAGAAACCCTGTCTCAAAAAAAAAAAAAAAAAGAAAAGGAAAGGAAAAAGAAAAAGAAATAAGAGATTTCAATTTCCTTTTCATTCCAAACTAAAGTTCAAAATTTAAATTTGGCCAGATGCTGTGGCTTATGCCTGTAATCTCAGCACTTTGGGAGGCTGAGGCAGGAAAATCACTTGAGGCCAGGAGTTTCAGACCAGCCAAGGCAACTTAGTGAGACACCCACCTCTACAACACAATACATTTAAAAATTAGGTCCTGCACTTAAGCCCAGAAGGTTGAGACTGCAGTGAGCTATGATCACACCACTGCACTTCAGCCTGAGCAATGGAATGAGACCTTGTCTCTTAAAAATAAATAAATAAGGCTGGGCTCGGTGGCTCACTCCTGTAATCCCCTGTAATCTTTGGGAAGGCAAGGTGGGCAGATCACAAGGTCAGGAGTTCGAGACCAGCCTGACCAACATGGTGAAAACCTGTCTCTACTAAAGATACAAAATTAGCCAGGCACGGTGGCATGTGCCTGCAACCCCAGCTATTCAGGAGGCTAAGGCAGGAGAATCACTAGAACCCAGGAGGTGGAGGTTGCAGTGAGCTGAGATTGGGCCACTGCACTCCAGCCTGGGCAACAGGGTAAGACTTCATCTCAAAAAATAAAATAAAAATAAATAAGTAAATCCATAAAAGTATCTCAGTGCTTATGGATGATGGGAATCAGATCTTTTTTTTTTTTTTTTTTCTTTTTTGAGATGGAGTCTCATTCTATTGCTCAGGCTAGAGTGCAATGCCATCTTGGCTCATTGCAACCTCTGACTCCCAAGTTCAAGTGATTCTCCTGCCTCAGCCTCCCGAGTAGCTGGGATTACAGGCGTGAACCACCACGCCCAGCTAATTACTGAACTTTTAGTAGAGATAGGGTTTCACCATGTTGACGAGGCTAGCTTTTTTTTTTTTTTTAAGACAGGGCCGGCTGGGCATGGTGGTTCACGCCTGTAATCCAAGCACTTTGGAGGCCAAGGCAGGTGGATCACCTGAGGTCAGGAGTTCAAGACCAGCCTGACCAACAAGGTGAAACCCCGTCTTCAAAAAAAAAAAAAAAAAAAAAGACAGGGCCTCATTCAGTCACCCAGGCTGGAGTGCAATGCTACAGTCACGGGTCACTGCAGCCTTGACCTCCTGGTTTCAAGTGATCCTCCTGCTTCAGCCTCCCAAAGTGCTGGGATTAGAGGCGTGAGCCGCTTCGCCCAGCCAGGGATCTCAGTCTTGAAGCGCAGGGTGATCTTCAAGGCGCAGCTGGCCCTCTCCCACCTCTCTCCCATCATTAGTCCTGCTCCCCATTGTTTACCCAGCTGTCTCCCAGCCCTGAGGATGGGAATCCCCTCCACCTTCATGTCAGCAAACTGCTCCGGGCCCCTCCTCTTGGCTGCTGTCCGGGAGAAGGTCCCCACCAGGCTACCATGGCCTCCACCTTGCCCAGCCAGACCTTTCCTGGGAGGGTCATGACCCAGTCCCAGGGCCACTGAGAAAAGGAGTGTCAGCCCGGCTCTGGGTGACCCCCCCTTCAGGCTGCCCATCTGATACCCCAACACTGCCCCGCCCCAGCCTGCTCCTGGCACCAGAGACCCTGCTGACTGTGCCAGGGGCTAATCTGGGAGCTGGCAGCTGTGAGTCCTGGCTCTACCACTCGACCTCTGGCGGCGAGCGGGGAGGCCCCTTCCTGACCTTCAGGGATCTGCCATCATGGTTGGTGGGACCAGGGTGACATGGCGGGTGGGCTGGGGTTGGAGCTGGAACTCCAGGAGGAGGGGACAGCTGGGCTTCTGGACTCTCCCTCAGAGGGACAGCCTTCTGGCCTGTGAGGGGATGGGAGGCTGGAGGGGGTAGCAAGTGGGCGAGGGCTGGGCTGCTGGCCCTGGAAATAAACAGAGAGCAGCGGCCACCTGCCCCAGGAGCTCTTGGCTGCAATGCAGGCACAATCCTCCTGGACACCAGGCTGAGCGCGGAAGCCCGTGGCTATGGAGGCCCCATCCATGAGACGCTGCCCCGTGGCCAACCCTCCTCTTTTCTCCTGTAGACAGACGGGGAGGGGGCAGGGGCACTAAGCACCGGCCTCCCTCTGGGGCCTCTAGTCCCTTTTCCTAGGTATGGGTTCTGGGATCATCCAGCTCCACCGCCAGGGACACCCCGGCTCTGACCTCCTTTCTGCCCCCTAGTCCCACCGGAAGTTTTCCGCCCCTCGGCACGGACACCTGGGCTTCCTGCCTCACAAGAGGAGCCGCCGGCACCGGGGCAAGGTGAAGACGTGGCCGCGGGATGACCCCAGCCAGCCTGTGCACCTCACGGCCTTCCTGGGCTACAAGGCGGGCATGACCCACACTCTTCGTGAGGTGCACCGGCCGGGGCTCAGTGAGTCACCATTGGGCCCCTCGCGGGATGGGGAGGGCTGAACCTTCCAGATGCTCAGAACCAGAGCTCACACTCTTGGGAACCAGAACTCAGGCTCTTGATCCGGGCGGGCCACAGTCCCAGCACGAGTCCCTGCTCCCGGGAACCGTGGTGAACGCTGAGCACAGGCAAGGCTTCCGGGCGGGTTCTGTCATGGCCGCAGCCCGCATATGTGGACATCAAGGCACAAAGCAGTGAGGAAACTGTCCCAGGCACACAGGCAGTAAGGGCAGGTGCTGGGATTCAAACGCCAGCTCGGTGTCCCATGCCCTCGGTTCAAACCACCTGCCAGGACGGCTGTGGTTTTTGGCCATTACTGGTCTATTTCACGTACCATTATTTCAGATGTACACCTATGCGTATTGTTTGGTTTTCATTTTATTATTTATTTTTGAGACAGAGTTTCGCTCATGTTGCCCAGGCTGGAGTGCAATGGCGCGATCTCGGCTCACCGCCACCTCCGCCTCCTGGGTTCAGGCAATTCTCCTGCCTCAGCTTCCCGAGTAGCTGGGACTACAGGCATACGGCACCACGCCCGGCTGATTTTATATTTTTAGTAGAGATGGGGTTTCTCCATGTTGGTCAGGCTGGTCTCGAACTCCCGACCTCAGGTGATCCACCCACCTTGGCCTCTCAAAGTGCTGGGATTACAGGCGTGAGCCACCGCGCCTGGCCGGTTTTGGTTGTTTTAATTATAGATTTACAAGTACTTGTAAGAAATAATGCAGGCCGGGCACGGTGGCTCACGCCTGTAATCCCAGCACTTTGAGAGGCCAAGGCGGGCAGATCACTTGAGGCCAGGAGTTCCAGACCAACCTGGGCAGCATGGTGAGACCCTGTCTCTACAAAACATACAAAAATTACCTGGGAGTGGTGGTGAGTGCCTGTAGTCCCAGCTACTTGGGAGGCTGCGGGGTGGGAGGACGGCTGGAGCGTGGGAAGTCGAGGCTGCAGTGAGCTATGATTGCACCCACTGCGCTCCAGCCTGGCCAACAGAGTGAGACCCTGTCTCAAAAAAAGAAAAAAAAAAATCCATTGTAATTATGAAACTAACAAACGCTCATTTGGTCTTAGCTCCACCCTCTGGGGGAATGCTGCCCTGGCTGGCCCCACGCTCTCCTGGCCTACCCCTGTGAGCCCAGCTTTTCACTCCCCCCCCCATGGGCTTCAGGAGGTCCCCTTTCATGCCCCATCCCTGCATCTCATCCAGAAATTTCCAAACGGGAGGAGGTGGAGGCGGTGACAATTGTGGAGACGCCACCCCTGGTGGTGGTGGGCGTTGTGGGCTACGTGGCCACCCCTCGAGGTCTCCGGAGCTTCAAGACCATCTTTGCAGAACATCTTAGTGATGAGTGCCGGCGCCGATTCTACAAGGACTGGTGAGCACTGCCTTGGGTGGGCTGCCCAAGGGCTGCTGGGGCCACGGAGGTTGGTGCCCGAGGCTCTAGCTCTTGCTGGAATGATAGGTGTGGAAGAGTAGGAAGAGAAGACTCAGAGTGTGCGCCTGTAACCCCAGCACTTCGGGAGGCCAAGGCAGGAGGATCATTTGGGGTCAGGAGTTCGAAACCAGCCTGGCCAACATGGTGAAAGCTCATCTCTACTAAAAAAATTAAAACTTAAAAATAAAAAATTAGCCGGCTGGTAGATTACAGGTACGCACCTGTAATCCCAGCACTATGGGAAGCTGAGGCAGGCAGACTGCTTGAGCTTAGGGCTTCAAGAGCAGCCTGGGCAACACGACAAAACCCATCTCTACCAAAAAATACAAAACATTAGTTGAGCATGGTGGCACACACCAGTGGTCCCAGCTAAACGGAGGGCTGAGGTGGGCGGATTGCTTGAACCTGGGAGGTCCACACTGCAGTGGGCTGTGTTTGTGTCACTGCACTCCAGCCTGGGAGACAAAGTGAGACCCTGTCTCCAAAAACAAAAATGAAAGGATGGCCTCCAAACCCGGGGCATGGTGCCTAGCCACAGCACCCAACATACCCGTGCGAAGTGGGCCCAGCCGTCCGAGCATGTGGCAGGTGGGGTGGTCTCTAGGTGCCGGGACTGCAGGGCTGGCCGGCCACTTCTCTGAGCTTCCGCACCTCTGCCACTCGCTCTCGGGCCCCACGAGACAGTAAGGGTGCCCATGTTACAGAGGAGGAAACCGGGTCCCAGACAGGGAGGGACTGTCTCTGTTCAAAGATGGTGGCTGGAACCAGCTCCGAGGCCTCCGGGGTTGGGGGCAGACCCAGCGGTAGGCCCCTGCTTGGTGGGCTGGGGATGGGAATGGGATGGGGGCAGTATGGGCCTGGGGAGCTGCCCTGGTTATGGGGACTCTGAGCGCCCTCCTGTGGGTGGCTCAGGCACAAGAGCAAGAAGAAAGCCTTCACCAAGGCCTGCAAGAGGTGGCGGGACACAGACGGCAAAGAGCAGCTGCAGAAAGACTTCGCCGCCATGAAGAAGTATTGCAAGGTCATTCGGGTCATCGTCCACACGCAGGTCAGCCCCCAGCCCTCTGCCGTCGGCCAGTCCCTAGGCCCGCACCCCTCACCTCAGCTTCCACAGCTCTGGCACATGTCAGCCTAAAAATACCGGAGCTCTGGCACCAGAGGAGTGGCTGACTGGCCTTGCTGGCCACACGTGACCCCAGGGATGGGTGCTGAAAGGCATCAGTGCCTTTTGGGGTACCAGGGGTGTCACCCACACCAGCTAGTCGTCTAAGGCCCTGGCACGTGCTGAAGGGCTGGGTCCTCAGCCAAGTGTGGAGGGCCGATCACCTCTCTTCGGGTTCCGGCATAAGTGTGCGTAGGAATTGGGGTTTGTACCTGGGTCTGGCTTGCTGTAGGCTGACAGGCAGGTGGCATCCTCCAGCTTATTCTGGAATACTCTTTAGCATCCTTGTCCTCAGGAAAAGCTTCCCCAGGGCCTAAAACAGTACCCCCAACCTGAGCCTCCCACAGGCCCCTGAACCCACACTCCCCCTAGCAATTCACAGTTTCACAGGTCATGCCTGGGCTAGTCACCGTGGCACGTTCATCTCCCTGGACAGACTCCAGAGGGACAGAGGCCCTAGGTGGGGCCACAGCTGCCACCAAGAGCCTGGTATGCAGGAGGTACTCTATAAACACCGGCTTCATACATATGCTCCATACACACCAGCCCCATACACACCTGCCCTGTACACCTCTGTCCTGTACACGCCTGCCCTATATATACCTATGGGTCACTCTGTGGTGTATGCTGGCGTCTGTCTCCACCTCTGCATGGCACAGCCTGTGCGTCACACAGCACCAGCCAGAGACCTCACCCAAAAAAAAAAAAAATCAGGGCCACGCATAGTGGCTCACACCTGTAATCCCAACACTTTGGGAGGCCAAGGTGGGCGGATCACAAAGTCAGGAGTTTGAGACCAGCCTGACCAACATAGGGAAACCCCGTCTCTACTAAAAATACAAAAATTAGCCTGATGTGGTGGCGTGCACCTATAATCCCAGCTACTCAGGAGGCTGAGGCAGGAGAATTGCTTGATCCTGGGAGGCAGAGGTTGTAGTGAGCCGAGAATGACCCACTGCCCTCTAACCCGGGCAACAGAGCGAGACTCCACCTCAAAAAAAAAAAAAAAAAAAATGGCCGGGCGTGGTGGCTCAAGCCTGTAATCCCAGCACTTTGGGAAGCCGAGGCGGGTGGATCACAAGGTCAGGAGATCAAGACCATCCTGGTCAACATGGTGAAACCCCGTCTCTACTAAAAATACAAAACATTAGCTGGGCATGGTGGCGCGTGCCTGTAATCCCAGCTACTCAGGAGGCTGAGGCAGGAGAATTGCCTGAACCCAGGAGGTGGAGGTTGCGGTGAGCCGAGATCGCGCCATTGCACTCCAGCCTGGGTAACAAGAGCGAAACTCCGTCTCAAAAAAAAAAAAATTAGGTCAGGTGTGGTAGTTCATGCCTGTAACACCAGGACTTTGAGAGGCCAAGGTAGGCGGATCATCTGAGGTCAGCCTGGCCAATATGGCAGAAACCCAAAAATACAAAAAAACTAGCCGGGCATGGTGGGTGCCTGTAATTCCAGCTACTTGGGAGGCTGAGGCAGGAGAATTGCTTGAATCTGAGAGGTGAGGGTTGCAGTGAGCCAAGATCGCCCCACCGTACTCCAGCCTGGGTGACAGAGTGAGACTCCAAGTCAAAAAAGAAAAAAATCGGCTTACATCACAGTCTGCACTTGGAAGAAAGTCTGAGCTCCCCAATCCCAGTCCTGCCTGACTGCTGCCCACGCTCCTTGCTCCCCACCGTCTGGCCACAGTGGTCTCTTTGTCCCACCAACTTTCCAAGACCTCCCCTGCCAGCAGGCCTTTGCACATGCGGGGCCCGCTGCCCAAAGCCGCTCCAATCTTTGGCTAGTGGTTCCTTCTTGTTAGCAGCATCACCTCCTCAGAGGCCCTCCCTGCCCCGACCACTGTATCTCAAACATCAGCCCCCATAGCTGTCAGAGCACTCTGTCCTCACCAAGAGTTACCTGGCTTTGGCCGGGCATGGTGGCTCACGTCTGTAATCCCAGTACTTTGGGAGCCCGAGGCAGATGGATCACGAGGTCAGGAGTTCAAGACCAGCCTGGCCAAGATGGCGAAACCCCGTCTCTACTAAAAATACAAAACAAAGAATTAGCTGGGCGTGGTGGTGGGCGCCTGTAATCTCAGCTACTCAGGAGGCTAAGGCGGGAAGATCACGTGAACCTGGGAGGTGGAGGTTACAGTGAGCTGAGATCGAGCCACTGCACTCCAGTCTGGGTAACAGAGCGAGACTTCATCTCAAAAAAAAAAAAAAAAAAAAAAAGTTACTTGGCTTCCTTCTGTCCTCCAGTGAGATGGTGGCTCCTGAGGTGTGTGACTCTGTCTGTCGCATTCCACCCTGCATCTGTGGTGCCTGACACAACACACGGCTTGCAGCCTCACCCCGGGAATACCTGTGAATGAATGCATGCGTGAAAGACAGCAGGGGCCACGGCCGGCCATGCCATGCTTGGTGGGGGTGTGATCCTGTGGGCCATGGCATGACCTCCAGTTGTGTCCTGCAGATGAAACTGCTGCCCTTCCGGCAGAAGAAGGCCCATATCATGGAGATCCAGCTGAACGGCGGCACGGTGGCCGAGAAGGTGGCCTGGGCCCAGGCCCGGCTGGAGAAGCAGGTGCCAGTGCACAGTGTGTTCAGCCAGAGTGAAGTCATTGATGTCATTGCTGTCACCAAGGGCCGAGGCGTCAAAGGTAGGGCTCAATGGGGATGGCAGCTCCAGGGCAGGCTGCCTGGAGGCAGTGGGGACCAGCCTGGCCTCTCGGCCACCAGCCCTGCCCACCTGCAGGAGTTACAAGCCGCTGGCATACCAAGAAGCTACCGAGGAAGACGCATAAGGGCCTGCGCAAGGTGGCCTGCATTGGTGCCTGGCACCCAGCCCGCGTGGGCTGCTCCATTGCCCGGGCCGGGCAGAAGGGCTATCACCACCGCACGGAGCTCAACAAGAAGGTGCGTCCACAGCCGGGGAAGGCGGACACTGTGGTTGGACCCCTGCCCTCAGTACTGGCCTCGGCAGGTGGAGTGCATGACCCAGACACTGCCAGGGTCATGAGATGCCCTCACCAGCGCTGAGGCTGAGCACGTGTGCTGATGGGCCTATATGGGCTGCTGGCCCCAGAGGCCACCTCCTGCCCCTGGCATGTGCCCCCTTCTTCTGGCAGATCTACCGCATTGGCCGGGGGCTACACATGGAGGATGGGAAGCTGGTGAAGAACAATGCATCCACTAACTACGACGTGACTGCCAAGTCCATCACACCGCTGGTGAGGGCTGGAGGGGGGTCAGGCTGGCCCAGGGGGCCTTGGGTATGCCTCAGCTGGGTACGTCCACCCCAAGGGCTCAAGATTTGTGCCCCACAGCTGGACGCTGCCCCCCAGACATGCTGGGACACAAGGCTTTGACATCTGGGCAGTCATATGGGACCCTTGCCTCAGCTGTCCAAAACATATGGATATAGTCGCAAGCAAGAAATCCCTGCTGCATCCACATCCTCCAAGGCTCCTCTGGAGGCACCTTCCACTCCAGCCGCTGTCATGTGGGTATGGAGTGTGGCAGCTTCTACTGTGGCCTGGGAGTCAGGCCACATGGGCTCAAACTGCATCTCCAGGACTTAGCAGCTGTGGAGCTTGGAGCAAGTGATCCTCAGTCTCCCCCCCCAAAAAACGTAGATTATTGAGTAAGATAATGCATGAAAAGTTCTCAGCAACTGGGCTCGGTGGCTCAGCCTGTAATCCCAGTACTCTAGAAGGCTGAGGTGGGCAGATCACAAGATCAAGAGTTTGAGAACAGCCTGGCCAACATGGTGAAAGCCCATCTGTACTGAAAATACAAAAATTAGCTGGGTGTGGTGGCACACACCTGTAATCCCAGCTACTCAGGAAGCTGAGGCAGGAGAATTGTTTGAACCCGGGAGGCGGAGGTTGCAGTGAGCCGAGATTGCGCCACTGCGCTTCAACCTGGGTAACAGGGTGAGACTCTGTCTCAAAAAAGAAAAGGACTTAGCTTGTGACTCAGATGCTTTCCTCAGTAGGGGTGGCGTGATAGTCACCCCTATACCTGGGGGCTGGGCATGGGGCTCCCTCCAATCACAGCCCGCTGTGGGGATTCTCCTAGGGCCCCCAGCCACCTGCTAATTCAGAAGCCCTGTCTGGCCCTGGCCCCTGACCTGTCTCCTCTGCAGGGTGGCTTCCCCCACTATGGGGAAGTGAACAATGACTTCGTCATGCTGAAGGGTTGCATTGCTGGTACCAAGAAGCGGGTTATTACGCTGAGAAAGGTTGGCAGGGCCGGGTGGGGTGGGGAGTGGGTACCTGAGGGATGCCAGCCTGTCCTGCCCTGCAGCCTGCTACAAGGCGGATGCAGTGGGGGGAACAGAAAGGGAGGGGTCTGGCAGGAACTAGGTGTGCAAGACCTTCCTGGTGGTGTGGCCTGGAGGTCACAGCAGGGTGATCAAGATCCCCACCCTTGATGTCTACTTGACACGGGTTCCCCAGTCCCTCCTGGTGCACCACAGCCGCCAGGCCCTGGAGAATATTGAGCTCAAGTTCATCGATACCACCTCCAAGTTTGGCCATGGCCGCTTCCAGACAGCCCAAGAGAAGAGGGCCTTCATGGTGAGCTCAGTGTCCCCCATCCTTGTTCCTCTCTTGGGCTCCCATTCCACATCCAGCCTGCCTGAGTAGGGAAGCTGGAGCTGGCAGGGACTCCCCTTCGCTCATCTGCAGGAGAAACTCTTTTTTTCTTTTTTTTGAGATGGAGTGCACTGGCATGATCTTGGCTTACTGCAACCTCCACCTCCTGGGTTCAAGTGATTCTCCTGCCTCAGCCTCCTGAGCAGCTGGGACTACAGGCGTGTGCCACCACACCCAGCTAATTTTTTGTATTTATAGTAGAGATGGGGTTTCACTGTGTTAGCCAGGATGGTCTCGATCTCCTGACCTTGTGATCTGCCCGTCCTGGCCTCCCAAAGTGCTGGAATTACAGGCATAAGCCATCGTGCCCAGCCTGCAGGAGAGGTTCTTAAGAGTCTACTCCTGGACACTGATTCTCTAGAAGAGAAGGGGTAGGAACCAGCCTTGGAATGGGTAACCTGGAGCCTGGCTGAGGGCGGTGTTTCTGGCCAGACTCCTGTGACTAAGCCTTGTCTTGCACCACCCCCGCAACCAGGGCCCCCAAAAGAAGCATCTGGAGAATGAAAAGCCAGAGACTTCCGGAGACTTATAGGCTGCGTGGGGTGGATGAGCGCTGAAGTGCAGCGTACCCACTGTCTGCCCTGATGCTGAATAAAGGCCGGAGGCGACTCTTCCTGCAGTGTCTTGGAGCGATTTGTAACCGCCCAAAGGGGTTCACCTTGCCCACCACCTAGACAAAGCTACTTCATTAAGACAAGGGAACTGCTGGCTGGGTTGGCTCATGCCTCTAATCCCAGCACTCTGGGAGGCTGAGGCAGGCGGATCACCTGAGCTTGGGAATTCGAGACCAAACTAACCAACATGGAGAAACCCCATGTCTATTAAAATACAAAATTAGAGGCCGGGCGCGGTGGCTCAAGCCTGTAATCCCAGCACTTTGGGAGGCCGAGGCAGGTGGATCACAAGGTCAAGGGATCGAGACCATCCTGGTCAACATGGTGAAACCCCGTCTCTACTAAAAACACAAAAAAATCAGCTAGGCATGGTGGCACGTGCCTGTAATCCCAGCTACTCAGGAGGCCGAGGCAGGAGAATTGCCTGAACCCAGGAGGTGGAGGTTGCAGTGAGCCGAGATCGTGCCATTGCACTCCAGCCTAGGTAACAAGAGCGAAACTCTGTCTCAAAAAAAAAAAAAAAAAAAAAAAAAATTAGCAGGGCGTTGTGGTGTATGCCTGTAATCCCAGCTGCTCAGGAGGCTGAGGCAGGAGAATCGCTTGAACTCGAGAGGCAGAGGTTTCAGTGGGCCGAGATCGTGCCACTGCACTCTAGCCTGGGCAATGAGAGTGAAACTCCGTCTCAAAAAAACAAAGAAAAAAGGGAATTGCAATAGATAAAGAGTAATTCACGCAGAGCCGGCTATGCTGGCTCTTCAGGAGACTAGAGTTTTATTGTTACTTAAATCGATCTCCTTGAGCATTCAGGGAGCAGAGTTTTTTTTTTTTTTCTTCTTTTTTTGAGACGGAGTTTTGCTCTTGTTACCCAGATTGGAATGCAATGGAGCGATCTCCGCTCACCGCAACCTCCGCCTCCTGGGTTCTGGAAATTCTCCTGCCTCAGCCTCCTGAGTAGCTGGGATTACAGGCATGCTCCACCATGCCCAGCTAATTTTTTGTATTTTTAGTAGAGACGGGGTTTCACCATGTTGACCAGGAGGGTCTCGATCTCTTGACCTCGTGATCCACCCGCCTCGGCCTCCCAAAGTGTGTTTTAAACTATAAACTATAATCTGAGTTTCTCCCAAAGTTATTTCAGTCTACCACCAGGGATGAACAAGGACAGCTTGGATGTTAGAAGCAAGATCGAGTCGCTTAGGTTACAGCTCTTTCACCGACTCAGTCGTAATTTTGCAAAGGCAGTTTCAGCTGGGCGAGGAAAGGCTGCCTGACCTGCGGTGGCTCGGGGCTTAGCACCAGGGACTGAACGGGGAAAACACTGCTCTACGTTGCGCGCCACCACTTACCTGGCCAGACCCCAAGTGGGTCCTCAGCTACCAGAGCGCTCGGGGCGACAGCGGTGGGACCCCGGGGAAGTAGCCCAGAAGTTGTCCCGGGGAGTTACTATGGGCGGGGCCTGCTGGGGAGATGGGATTGGACCGGCCCCCGGGAGGGGCGGTGCCTCGAGGAAAAGGCCCAGGCGTGGTCTCTGGGAGTTATTGATGGGTGGGGACTACCGGGAAAATGGGATTGGACCTGCAATAGGGAGGGGGCGGAGCCTCAGGGAAGCAGGCCCAGAGAGGTCCTCGGGAGTTACCGGTGGGCGGGGCCTGCTGGGAAGATCGGATTGGACCGGTCCTCAGGAGGGGCGGGGCCTCCCAGAGGCGGAAGCCGGGATTCGCCTCCCGGGGAGCGATTGGTCCTCGGAAGGGGCGGGGAGGTGGGCGGGGGTCCTGGCGGTCGCTGGGTCGACAGCCTTGGGTCTGTTGGCGGCAGCGAGTGCGTTGCGGTTACGGTGGCGCCATGTCGTTCTGCAGCTTCTTCGGGGGCGAGGTTTTCCAGAATCACTTTGAGCCGGGTTGGTCGTGGGGCCTTTCGCAGGGAGGGCGGGGGGGGGAAAGGTGGCGGGGGGGGAAGGAGAGGAGGGTGGCAGGACGCACATTAGAGAGGGCGCCGCCGTCCTCCGGGAGTGATGTCTCCTTTAAGCCAGGAATGGGGGTGAGTGTGGCCACCAGGGAGAAGCGAACATAAGTCAAGAAGACTGCGGAGGAGGAGGGATCCTGGGGGCGCGGAGACTGGGGTACCCGATGAGAGGGAGCTTTGGGGGTCACCATCCTTGAGGAGGGCAGGCCTCGAGTGTGAATGTGCCCTTTCGGATGGGGTGAGTCGAAGGGACCGGGGTACATAGTGGTAGTATCCCTTCCCTGTCCATTCACTCCAAAGTGATGGCGGTGGGGGAATTCCGGTTAGGGTCGGGACTTTGGAGAGGCGCGACAGAAGTTTTTCTCCAGAGCCAGCTCCTGTGGCCTGGCCGCCCCTCTGCGGGTCATCCCCCAGGTGTTACCCTGGCCCTTCCCATTCCCCCAGGTCAGGGATCTGTGGGAGGAGTCCAGCAAGCATAGAATGTCCCCTTCAGATTTTTATGTGCCAGCCCAGGTTCCTCCTCACCTGCCCAGGGACTCCAGATTGGGGAATCAGGATTGCCACTAGGCCCCTGCCAACGGCCAGTGGAGTTTGACCAGGCAGACAGGATGGGGTGGTTTGGGGTGTGGCAAGCCCTCAGCACTGGCCCCAGGCTGTGAGAAGCCCTGGGGGCTGGGCTGGCCTGGTAGTGGATTAATTTGGTAAAAACACATCCACAGGCACATTTTAGATGCTGGGGCGGATCTGCTGGGTGTCAACCTTGTAGGGAACTGGGCTGTGGCACAAGACCACCCGGCAAAGCCTCCCCCAACAAGACTCTCCAGATGTGGACCCCCGTTGTCCTCAGGCTGCTCTGCCAAGCCAGAAACTCCTCTCCCACGGCAGCTGCTGGCTCCTCTTTGCTTTTTTCTCCAGTTCCTGGAAAAGGCTGGGTAGTTTAGTCTCCATGTGAGGCTATCCCCAGGTGATGGGTGAGAGTGACTCACCACCCCTGGAGGTTCCTGTTTTTTTTTTTTTTTTTTTTTTTTTTTTTTTTTTTTTTTTGAGACGGAGTTTCACTCTTGTTACCCAGGCTGGAGTGCAATGGCACGATCTCGGCTCACCGCAACCTCCGCCTCCTGGGTTCAGGCAATTCTCCTGCCTCAGCCTCCTGAGTAGCTGGGATTACAGGCACGTGCCACCATGCCCAGCTAATTTTTCGTATTTTTAGTAGAGACGGGGTTTCACCATGTTGACCGGGATGGTCTCGATCTCTCGACCTCGTGATCCACCCGCCTCGGCCTCCCAAAGTGCTGGGATTACAGGCTTGAGCCACCGCGCCCGGCCGGTTCCTGTTTTTAGTCCTTGAAACGGTTCTGCAAGACAGTTTTGCAACTTTCCAACTCGTTTCACTCCAAAGTGATCCTTTGGTGGTAGGCTGAAATCTGTCCTCCCCAGCCCTCCTTCTTCCTGGGATCCTGTGTGGCCTGGAGGCCTTTCTCTGGAACTGTTCTCTTCCTGCCTGGAGAGCAGGGCAGTGCCTGGGTGTCCAGCTTAGGGCCTTGTTGGGCAGCAGGGAGGGCCACTTGAGAAGGGAGAGGGACCAGGTGGTTGGGCCACATCAAGGCCCCTGCTGTGTATGTCCCCTGGAGGGTTGGGGCGGGGGCGAGGCGGAGCTCCGTGCCCTCATTGGACTGCCCGGGTTCCTTCATGCTGCACACACTGTAGCTGGGTGTCTTTGCATCACCAAGCAAAGACGGAAATGGTAGGAGAGGCCCCATCACAGGACTATGTGAAGAATCAAGGAGATAATTGCGAAAGATGACTCCCCAGTCTCTGGCACATCTACTAAACATGAGCTCAGTACAGGTCTCCCATGTCGGCGGGTACACGGGGACAGAGTGTGGGGCCCACCCTGGGAATGGGGACAGCACTGCCTTTGCCTGGGCCCATGGATTTGGGAGCGTGACCCCAGAAAGGCCAGAGCTGACAGCTCCACACTTGCCTCTCCTCTTACCACAGGCATTTACGTTTGTGCCAAGTGTGGCTATGAGCTGTTCTCCAGCCGCTCAAAGTACGCACACTCATCCCCATGGCCGGCGTTCACTGAGACCATTCACGCCGACAGCGTGGCCAAGCGTCCGGAGCACAATCGATCTGAAGCCTTGAAGGTAAGAGGCCACGGGGATGGGGGAGGCATGGGGGTGGCCAGGGAGAGCAAAGAGCCCACCTCACCTTCCTCCCTCTGCTTGCCCCATGGCTCCAGGGGCTTAGAGGCTGTCTGTTCCAGGCCTGTGGCTTTCACCAGGGAGCTGCCACCCCAGGCTATCAGGAGAGCCTGGCCTTCTGGTGCAAATGTGGGAAACAGGACAGAGTTCCTGTCCAGGCTCCAGGACCAAGATCAACCTCTTACGTGGCCTCTTACATTGGGGATCTGCTTGGGAAATGGATGTGTGTGAAGAAACACCATCTCCCGGCCCCAGTGAGGGCCATTACTGCGGCTGTTTCATGGCCAGAAGCTCATGAAGCTGCCTTGTGATCTTTCCAGGTGTCCTGTGGCAAGTGTGGCAACGGGTTGGGCCATGAGTTCCTGAACGACGGCCCCAAGCCGGGGCAGTCCCGATTCTGAATATTCAGTAGCTCGCTGAAGTTTGTCCCTAAAGGTGAGCTTGCCTTGCACAGCTGGGGGCTAGGCCTGTTGGTCTTCGAGCCCAGGGTTGGGGGTTCCAGTGTTTGTGTTCATCTACTTACCATGACAAGGTATGGGGCCACCAAGTCATGCTGCCTGGGAACTGCTCAGGGTCCTCCTGAAAGGTGGCTGCAGGGTAGGGACAGGGGGGCCCGTGTTCTGCTTCCTCGCCTGGTTGATCATGAGTATACCAACAAGGGGCACTGGAGTGAGAATGAGGCAAACGCTTTTCTCAGGAGGCGTGGCCTTTCCCTGAGGCTAGTGTCAGGAGTGGGGTGGACAAAGGCTGAGGCTCTGGTCTGTGCAGCCGTCTCCCACTGGCTGGGACTGTGGCCCTGCTTCGCAGCGCTCTGAGTCTGCTGCCTCCTCTGTGGACTGGACATGGTAGTAGGGCTGGTGAGGACAGGTGCGTGTCATGTGCACCTGCGCCTGTCATACCGTAATAGGTTGATCATTCCTCATTTTTTTTTTTTTAATTTTGAGACAGGGTCTTGCTCTGTTGGGCAAGCTGGAAGCCATCTCGGCTCACTGCAATCTCCACCTCCCAGGTTCAAACAATTCTTCTGTCTCAGCCTCCCGAGTAGCTGGGATAACAGGTGTGTGCCACCACACCCAGCTAATTTTTGTATTTTCAGTAGAGACGGGGTTTCACCATGTTGGCCAGGCTGGTCTTGAACTCCTGACCTCAGGTGATTCACCCACCCCAGCCTCCAAAGTGCTGGGAGTACAGGTGTGAGGCCCCGCGCCCGGCTGATGAATCCTCATTCTTGTTGGCAGTGTTCTTAGCGTTGGGAGCTTGTGTCTGGGTACTGTTTGTCACCTCTGTGTGTTTCATCTGAGCACAGCCTTCTCTCTGGTCCACTGCCCTCCCGCTCACACAGATCCTCAGGCATCACTGCACATCTGTCTGCAGGCCCAGCCTCCCCGAGACTCTTCCCTGAGCTCTGCGTTGGAATCCCAGATCTTCCCTCAACATCCATAGGACCGTGGCCACTTCCCTATTCTCAGCTTCATTCTCTCTAAAATTTTTTTTTTTTTTTTCATTTTAAAAAATGTATATTTGCTGATATTTTCTTTTTCTTTTTTTTTTTTTTATAGAGATGAAGTCTCACTCTGTTCCCCAGGCTGATCTCCAACGCCTAGGCTCAAGAGATCCATTCACTTTGGCCTCCCAAAGTGCTGGGATTATAGGTGTGAGCCACTGTGCCCAGCTTTTTCTTAAATTTAAATTAAATTGAATTTTTTGAGATGGGGTCTCACTCTGCCACCCAGGCTGGAGTGCAGTGGATGGAACAAGGCTCATTGCAGGCCCAAACTCCTGGGCTCAAGCAGTGCTCCTGTGTCAGCCTCCCAAGTAGCCAGGTCTAAAGTGCATGTCAGCACACCTGGTTAATTTTTTTTTTTTGAGACAGAGTTTCGCTCTTGTTGCTCAGGCTGGAGTGCAGTGTGTGATCTTGGCTCACCACATTTCTGCCTCCCAGGTTCAAGTGATTCTCCTGCTTCAACCTCCTAAGTAGCTGGGATTACAGGTGCCTGCCACTATGCTGGACTAATTTTGTATTTTTTTTTTTTTTTTGAGATGGAGTTTCGCTCTTGTTACCCAGGCTGGAGTGCAATGGCGCGATCTCGGCTCACCGCAACCTCCGCCTCCTGGGTTCAGGCAATTCTTCTGCCTCAGCCTCCTGAGTAGCCGGGATTACAGGCACGCGCCACCACGCCCAGCTAGTTTTTTGTATTTTTAGTAGAGACGGGGTTTCACCATGTTGACCAGGAGGGTCTCGATCTCTCGACCTCGTGATCCACCCGCCTCGGCCTCCCAAAGTGCTGGGATTACAGGCTTGAGCCACCGCGCCCAGCTAATTTTGTATTTTTAGTAGAGATGGGGTTTCTCCATGTCGACCAGACTGGTCTCAATCTCATGACCTCAGGTGATCCACCCACCTCGGCCTCCCAAAGTGCTGGGTTTATAGGTGTGAACCACCGCGCCTGGCCCACACCTGGTTAATTTTTAAAATTTATTTTTTTGGAGACAGTCTGGTTCTGTCACCCAGCCGGAAGTGCAATGGCCGATCTCAGCTCACTGCTATCTCTGCCTCCTGGATTCAAGCAATTTTCTTGCCTCAGCCTCCCGAGTAGCTGGGATTACAGATGCACAGCCACTACACCCAGCTAATTTTTGTACCTTTAGTAGAGACAGGATTTCACCATGTTGGTTAGGCTGATCTGGAACTCCTGACCTCGTGATCCACCTGCCTCAGCCTCCCACGGTGTTGAGATTACAGGCGTGAGCCCCTGCGCCTGGTCAATTTTTAAAATTTTTTATAGAGATGGGGGTCTTACTATGTTGCCCAAGCTGGTCTTAAACTCCTCTGGGCCTTGGCCTCCAAAAGCGCTGGGACTGCAGGTGTGAGCCACCGCGCCTGGCCTGAATGGGGTTGTTAACAGCACATGCTCATGGCCATCGCAGCGCTGGTAAATCGAGCAGCCTGGTACATATCCATGGTAAACTTGCAGTGATATTTTTGTTCTTTTGTCATTATTTGTCCTCCGTGTGAGTGGAGGGAGGAGAGACTCTGGGTTCCCCTGTGGATCTCAGAACAAAATGGGGTGCACAGACTCCGATGAGTCGGGCCTCTGGTCCTTTCAGCTCTCCTGTGGCCTGCAGGCCAGGGCAGAGGTGAAGGGCTCAGGGAACGGTGACTTGTTTTTCTCTCCCTTCTCTCCTTTCTTTTAGGCAAAGAAACTTCTGCGTCCCAGGGGCACTAGGCGGGCAGCCCATACCTACCCCGGATGGCCACCGCACTGAGGCCACACGCTGGCCACTCCACCTTGGAGTTGGGACCCTAGGCATCAAGACAGAAAGTAGGCAGGGCATGGTACTTGAAACATCGGGAAGCTCCTGACGCCCCAGCTCTGAACAAGACCTTCTTGTTTCTTGGAAAAGACACTCATTTGCTGATGGTTCGTGCCTTCTGCCAGGACAGGCCTGGGCTGCACAGCCACACTGTCAACTTAGCTCCCCCCTGCCCACTCGGGGTGCCTCCAGGAGGTGGGCTCTGGGCGCAGCTGGTCTCTGAATGAGGTTACACTCCCACTTTCTTTTCCTGGCCCTGTCTCTGCTCATTGAGACCATGGGTCCCAATTCCAAGACAGACTCTCATTGTCACTGAAGCTTAGGCCCACATTTCCCAGGCGGCGTAGAAGACAGAATGGAAATGGAGGCTGCCCCTGCCACCCACCCCAGCCCCAGTCACTGCATGATCCACTCTGGTCAAACCCTTCCAGGCCAGCCAGGGTGGGGATGGTCCGTGACCTGCTGGGAAGGCAGGCCGATGGGCAGAGCCTGGGTATCTCGTCCACAAGGGCAGAAACCTAAACCCTGTTTCACAATCTGTGCGGAAGTAGCTTGCCTCACTCGGGCTTAGCAAAGCGCTGTTGCTCCATTACTCTAACCAGCACAGGGCAGGGGCCCCGAGCTCACACCTGCCAGGAGGCCCTTCAAAGGTGTGTGACTGTGCCTTACTGGACAAGCTCAGAGGTCTTTCCATACGGGAGGGTGGGTGATGCTGAAGTTACCCTCCATCTTAAGTCATTTCTTTTTGGAGTAATCAGACAGAAATCAATAAACAAATGAAACACCCAGACATAATGTCTTTTTTCTTTTTTGAGATGTGGTGGGGTCTGGCTCTGATATCCAGGCTAGAGTGCAGTGGCGCAGCATGGCTCACTGCAGCCTTGACCTTGTGGGTTCAAGCCACTCTCGCACCTCAGCCTCCCAAGTAGTTGGGACCACATGTGTGCACTGCCACGCTGCATCATTTTTACATTTTTTGTAGAGATGCGGTCTCACTATGTTGCCCCGGCTGGTCTTAAACTCCTGGACTCAAGTGATCCTCCCACCTTGGATTTCCAAAATGCGGGATTACACGTGTGAGCCACCATGCCCCGCCCCTGCTGTCTTTATTAACATCAGGGATGCCAGGACATGCGTGTCAGGCCTTTATATAATTTTTAAAAATTTTGAGGCCGGACGCGGTGGCTCATGCTTTGTCTCAAAACAAAAAACAAAAACACCTTTTTTTCCCCCCAATATTGACTGAGTATCCTTTCAGTAAATATGTGCAAAAAAGGGCCAGGTGCTGTGGCCACACCTGTAATCCCAGCACTTTGGGAGGCCAAGGCGGGCAGTCATGAGGTCAAGAGTTTAAGATCATCCTGGCCAACGTAGTGAAACCCTGTCTCTACTAAAAAGACAAACGTTAGCTGGGCATGGTGGTGCCTGCCTGTTTTCCCAGCTACTTAGGAGGCTCAGGTAGGAGAATAGCTTGATCCCCGGAGGTGGAGGTTACAGTATTTCAGCCCAGGCAACAGAGCGAGACTCCATCTAAAAAAAAAAAATAAAATAAAAAAATAAAGCCAGGCATGGTGGCTCACACATATAATCCCAGCACTTTGGGAGGCCGAGGTCGGTAGATTACCTGAGGTCAGGAGTTCGAGACCAGCCTGGCCAACATGGTGAAACCCCATATCTACTAAAAATACAAAATTGCCGGGCGTGGTGGCTCAAGCCTGTAATCCCAGCACTTTGGGAGGCCGAGGCGGGTGGATCACGAGGTCAAGAGATCGAGACCATCCTGGTCAACATGGTGAAACCCCGTCTCTACTAAAAATACAAAAAATTAGCTGGGCATGGTGGTGCGTGCCTGTAATCCCAGCTACTCAGGAGGCTGAGGCAGGAGAATTGCCTGAACCCAGGAGGCGGAGGTTGCGGTGAGCCGAGATCGTGCCATTGCATTCCAGCCTGGGTAACAAGAGCAAAACTCCGTCTCAAAAAAAAAAAAAAAAAAAAAAAAATACAAAATTAGCCTGGTATGGTGGCACATGCCTGTAATCCCAGCTACTGGGGAGGCTGAGGCAGGAGAATCGCTTGAACCCAGGAGGTGGAGGTTGTGGTGAGCCGAGATGGCACCACTGCACTCCAGACTGGGCAACAAGAGTAAAACTGTTTCAAAAAAAAAAAAAAAAAAAAAAACTGCCAAAAAAAATATGGCTGGGGATGCAGCTGTGTGATGCTAGCATGTGTAGAGGAAACTCCAAGGGTGGGGTCAGGGAAGGGGACTCTGAGGAGGCCTTAGCTCAGCAGTGACGGGCGCAGCACGTGCATAGGCTCGGCACACATGGGCCTGCCTCAGGCCCTGGAGGGCATGTAACAAGGTGTGACCCAGGAGAAGGCGCACTGTTCTCCCGAAGAAATGCAATGTCTTCCCAATTTATAGCCACAGAAATCAGGGGAGCATGTGGGAGTGGATATTAAGGGTGGATGTTTTGTCCTCCAGAACCCATAGCTGGCAGTGCCCCAAGATGGGGCCAGTTGGGATGTGAAGTAAGGAACACTGACCACCAGGGTGTCCAGAGCTTTTATTTACTTTTATTTATTTATTTAAGACGGGGTTTCACCATGTTGGTCAGGCTGGTCTTGAACTCCCGACCTCAGGTGATCCACCCACCTTGGCCTCCAAAGTGCTTGGATTACAGGTGTGAGCCACTGCACCCGGCCTATTTACTTTTATTTTTTATTTTTTGCACTCTGTTAGGCTGGAGTGCAGTGGTCTCAGCTCACTGCAACCTCTGCCACCTGGGTTCAAGTGATTCTCCTGCTTCAGCCTCCAGAGTAGCTGGGATTACAGGCATGCACCACCATGTCCAGCTAATTTTTGTAGTTTTAGTAGAGACAGGGTTTCACCTTGTTGGCCAGGCTGGTCATAAACTCCTGACCTTGTGATCTGCCCACCTCGGCCTCCTCAAGTGTTGGGATTACAGGCGTGAGCCACTGCACCTGGCCTTTTAATTTAATTTTTAAAAAAGCAAAGATAAGGCCTTACCATGTTTCCCAGGCTGGTCTTTAGCTCCTAGGCTCAAGCGATCCTCCTGCTTTGGCCTCTGTGGGAAGTAGAAAAGTTCCTTTTCTAGGTTTCCTTTCTTGTTAAAAATGTAAGTGTGCTAATAACTTTAAGCCCTATCCTATGTAGCTGTTAGACACGCCATGCTTACAGGCATGTAGTACATTCTATGTCCTTGTACTTTAACCAGGATATCTGTGCTGGACGTGCTCACAGTCATGTCCTAGCTCTCCATTGCTTTTACCTGTTTATAAAAGTTTTAAGTTGTTAACCAATTGGGTTGTAGTTTAGATTGTGAGGTCTGACTCCAGCCAATGGAGATCAGACACAGCAGTAAGGACGACCCCAAATGCATGAGGGATAAATGTGTGTTTTCCTTTGTTCATTGTACTTTTGTGGCATGACGGCTAGCGAGGAGGGTACCCTTCCTGCAGTCCAGGAGGTAAAAATTGCATTGCTAGGCCGGGCGCGGTGGCTCAAGCCTGTAATCCCAGCACTTTGGGAGGCCGAGGCGGGTGGATCACGAGGTTGAGAGATTGAGACCATCCTGGTCAACATGGTGAAACCCCATCTCTGCTAAAAATACAAAAAACTAGCTGGGCATGGTGGCGCGTGCCTGTAATCCCAGCTACTCAGGAGGCTGAGGCAGGAGAATTGCCTGAACCCAGGAGGCTGAGGTTGCGGTGAGCCGAGATCGCACCATTGCACTCCAGCCTGGGTCACAAGAGCGAAACTCCATCTCAAAAAAAAAAAATTGCATTGCTGAAACATCCCTTGTCTCAGTGCTGATTTTTCTTTGTGCTACTGAGCATCTATTTCCAACAGCCTCCTGAAGTACTGGGATTACAGGTGTGAGCCACCACGTCTGGCTGTGCTTCGTGATATTTGGTCATGGCACAGAAAGCAGGGGAGGATGGGTGCAGTGGCTCATGCCTGTAATGCCAGTACTTTGGGAGGCCAAGCAGGTAAATAACTTGAGGTCAGGAGTTCGAGACCAGCCTGGCCAACATGGTGAAACCCTGTCTCAACTAAAAATACCAAAATTAGCCAGGCATGGTGGCGGGCACCTGTAATCCAAGCTACTTGGGAGGCTGAGGGACGAGAATCACTTGAACCCAGGAGGCGGAGGTTGCAGTGAGTCGAGATGGCACTGGTACACTCCAGCCTGGGCCAACAGAGTGAGACTCTATCTCAAAAAAAAAAAAAAAAAAAAGCAAGCAAGCAAGCAAGGGGAGCCAGGAGACCTTACAGCAGAAATAATGGGGGAAGGAACAGAAGATTGGGTCGGGTTGCATTGATTGATATGGGTTCACTAAGCAGAGGTTCTGGACTTCATGTTGCCACTGCTGGGGTTTGAAAGGGCTCTGACTGGGGCCAGGTGTAGTGGCTCATACCTGTAATCCCAGCACTTTGGGAGGGCGAAGTGGGCAGATCACGAGGTCAGGAGTTTGAGACCAGCCTGGCCAACATGGTGAAACCCCGTTTCTACTAAAAACACAACAATTATCCAGGCATGGTGGCACGCACTGTAATCCCAGCTACTCGGGAGGCCGAGGCAGGAGAATCGCCTGAACCCAGAAGGCGGAGGTTGCGGTGAGCCGAGACCACACCATTGCACTCTAGCCTAGGTGACAGAGCAAGACACTGTCTCAAAAACAAAAACAAAAACAAAAAATAAAAAAAAATAAAAAAAAAAAAAGGCTCTGGCCGGGCGCGGTGGCTCAAGCCTGTAATCCCAGCACTTTGGGAGGCCGAGGCGGGTGGATCACGAGGTCAAGAGATCGAGACCATCCTGGTCAACATGGTGAAACCCCGTCTCTACTAAAAATACAAAAAACTAGCTGGGCGTGGTGGCGCGTGCCTGTAATCCCAGCTACTTAGGAGGCTGAGGCAGGAGAATTGCCTGAACCCAGGAGGTGGAGGTTGCAGTGAGCCGAAAACGCGCCATTGCACTCCAGCCTGGGTAACAAGAGCGAAACTCCGTCTCAAAAAAAAAAAAAAAAAAAAGGCTCTGACTGGTTGGTTGGTTGGTGAGCTACAACATAGACCAAAAAGTGACCTACGCAAAGTGCAGCTGAAATGCCAGGCCTAGCTCTGTGCACAGGAGAGCATGGGACTCAAAAGCTTGGGGAGGCGGGAGCGTCCGAGCGGATTTATCATTTCAGACCTACTCCCCCACCCTGGGAGAGAACAGGGGACACGCCTCTTACTAGCCCCATGAGAAATACATCTGTGAGGGGAGCAGGCCTCCTTCAAGAGCTCGGAGCTCGCTTTTCTCCCGCAGGTCTGGAATGACACAACTGCAGTCCCTGGCTTGGGAAACCTACGTGGAGGGGAGTAGCCGGATCCCGGGTAGCAGGGGCCAGGTGGCAGGGCTCAAACACGCACAGCAAGGTGAGCGTGGCTGCCAGAGTGAAAGCATTCAATCAGCGATCACAGTAACATGGGTAACCCCCCATCTAGGCATTGAGGAAGGAGAGCTAAGCAGAAGCCTGGCACAGTTAAGGCCTGAAGAATATCTCAGTTTATAGTGTTACCACTCAGTTATTTCCCTTTATACAATCCTCCCTATATAATCATATATTAGTTCATAGACTGAGCGCCTAAAGAATATCTTACCACTCAGTTATTTCCACATATATATATAACTATATCTTAGCTCATAATTGGAGGAATGCCTAGAGTGGACACAGTACAGAGCATGAATTAAGGAATAAGCAGCTTATAGTCGGAGGAATGTCTGGAGCAGACACGGTGCAGAGCATGATTTAAGGGAAAACAGTTATACTAGGACAAGAACCCATGGCCCAGGCGGCAGCGTTCAGTATTGGAAAGATAACCGTTGTATGGCAGGCTTGGGGCGAGAGCCACTGCTCCTGATAAAGGAGTTATCGGACCTTGCTCCAGTTCTTGTGGAAGGCTGCCCTCAGACCGGCAATCCACCTTGGTGACTGTGAACTTTATCAGCTCTTGCTACTGTGCTGCTTGAAAAGCATCTTCCCGGCCGGGTGCGGTGGCTCAAGCCTATAATCCCAGCACTTTGGGAGGCCGAGGTGGGTGGATCATGAGGTCAAGAGATCGAGACCATGCTGGCCAACATGATGAAACCCCGTCTCTACTAAAAATACAAAAAAGTAGCTGGGCATGGTGGCACATGCCTGTAATCTGAGCTACTCAGGAGGCTGAGGCAGGAGAATTGCCTGAACCCAGGAGGCGGAGGTTGCGGTGAGCCGAGATCGCGCCATTGCACTCCAGCCTGGGTAACAAGAGCGAAACTCCGTCTCAAAAAAAAAAAAAAAAAAAAAAAAAAAAAGAAACGAAAAGCATCTTCCCATAGAATCTACTGGAAGCTGCCAGAAGGTGGCAGTAACCCCAACAGCTCTGTCACTGCTGTGTGACTTAAAACACCCTCCTATAAATCTTCTTAGAAGTAGCTTGCCCAGCCGGGCGCGGTGGCTCAAGCCTGTAATCCCAGCACTTTGGGAGGCCGAGGCGGGCGGATCACGAGGTCAAGAGATCGAGACCCTCCTGGTCAACATGGTGAAACCCCGTCTCTACTAAAAATACAAAAAATTAGCTGGGCATGGTGGCGCGTGCCTGTAATCCCAGCTACTCAGGAGGCTGAGGCAGGAGAATTGCCTGAACCCAGGAGGCGGAGGTTGCGGTGAGCCGAGATCGCGCCATTGCACTCCAGCCTGGGTAACAAGAGCGAAACTCCGTCTCAAAAAAAAAAAAAAAAAAAAAAAGTAGCTTGCCCATAGATAGAGGTATTGCACACTGCACCCTCTTCACTGTTCACAGCCCACCTTCAAGCCTCGGTGACCTAATGGGGGCGGACTCCTTACTGCACACGGCCCTTGCCTTCATGGGAACCGGCCCCTTGCGGCGCACTGTCCACCTCCTGGCCTAGGTGACCTAATGGGGGTGGACCCCTTGTTTTATTGCTCACCACCCTATCACTGTCCCTAAAGATGACTTCACTTGCTGCCCTGCCCCCTAACCTATACACAATAAATACTCATGCTTCTGAACATTCGGGGCCTCGCCTGACTCCGCTTATAGGTGGCGTGGCCCCCTGAGCCCAGCTGCATTTTCCTTGTACTTCTGTGTCATGTCTCTTTATTTCTGGGATCCTGCGCCTCAGCACAGCATGAGGGACACCCCATGACGCTGTGGGGCCCTCAGCCCTATACAGTAAAGACCCACGGCATTGACCCGTGGACCATGGTGTTCCCAGATGTAAAACAGATGGAAGCCGACTGAACTCTTTTTTTTTTTTTTTTGAGAAGGTGTCTCATTCTGTCACCAGGCTGGAGTGAAGTGGTCCAATCTCGGCTTACCGCAACTTCTGCCTCCAGGGTTCAAGCAATTCTCCTGTCTCAGCCTCCCGAGTAGCTGGGACTACAGGCATGTGCCACCACTCCCAGCTAATTTTTTGTATTTTTAGTAGAGATGGGGTTTTATCATGTTGGCCACAATGGTCTTGATCTCCTGACTTTGTGATCCACCCGCCTCGGCCTCCCAAACTGCTAGGATTACAAGTGTGAGCTACCGCGCCTGGCTGGGGTGTTGGTTTTTTTGAGACGGAGTCTCAAAACCTGTAATCTCAGCACTTTGGAAGGCTGGGGCGGGAGGACAGCTTGAGCCTGGGAGGGTTCCTTGCATCCTGCTCTCTGTCTGAATGTCCTTCTCTGCCAAGAAACAGACATCAGGGCCGGGCGCAGTGGCTCAAACCTGTAATCCCAGCACTTTGGGAGGCCGAGGCGGGTGGATCATGAGGTCAAGAGATCGAGACCATCCTGGTCAACATGGTGAAACCCCGTCTCTACTAAAAATACAAAAATTAGCTGGGCATGGTGGCACATGCCTGTAGTCCCAGCTACTAGGGAGGCTGAGGCAGGAGAATTGCTTGAACCCAGGAGGCGGAGGTTGCGGTGAGCCAAGATCGTGCCATTGCACTCCAGCCTGGGTAACAAGAGCGAAACCCCGTCTCAAAAAAAAAAAAAAAGAAAAGAAACAGACATCAACAAGTTCCTTCTGTCCAGCCAGATCTCCCAAGGCCCCGGGGGTTCTGAGGATCCACCCTGCCCGAGCTCATCTCGACCCGTCTAAGCCAGATGACCAGGAAGATGGTCTGTCTGTCCATCCTCCAGCTGTGAGACATGTGGAGGGTCAGCCTGATGTCTCGGCTGGGAGGGGAGATGGGCTGTGCTGCTCCCGATGTTGGGCCCAGTAAACCCTGTCCCTTGGGGAGGTGACAAGGAGGGCCAAAGCAGGAAGAAACGGAGAGGGGAAGAGGCGGGGAAGGTCTCATTTGAGACCTACTCACCCACCCTGGGGAGCCAGGCCATGCTGGGAGGAAGGCCCTGCCCAGCCTCAGATCCAGGACCAGCGTTCTGGCTACATCTGTGCCCCCTTCACAGACTGTAACTATTTCTTCGATTTTTCTTTTCTTTTTCTTTCTTTTTTTTGGACACAAAGTTTCACTCTTGTTGCCCAGGCTGGAGTACAATGGCAAAATCTTCTCGGCTCATTGCAACTTCCACCTCCCAGTTTCAAGCCATTCTTCTGGCTCAGCCTTCTGAATAGCTGGGATTACAGGGGACCGCCACCACACCCAGCTAATTTTTTTGTATTTTTAGTAGACATGGGGTTTCACTATGTTGGCCAGGCTGGTCTTGAACTCCTGACCTCAGGCGATCCACCTGCCTTGGCCTCCCAAAGTGCTGGGATTACAGGGCTGAGCCAGCGTGCCCAGCAACTGTAACTATTTCTTTTGGGTGACTTTGATCCCTGTCTCCACCTACTCATGAGCTCTACCAGGGCAGTAACAGGTTCAGTCTTGATTCCTTTCATGGCTCCATGCCTGACCAGAGTGAGAGCTCATGTTTGTTGAGTGACTGTGCACGCTCGTATGTGTGTGCGTGTGTATGTGTGTGCGTGTGTGTGTGCGTGTGTGTGTTGCGTGTCCCTCACTCCCTGACACCCCTCTCTACCTCTTTCCCAGTCTGTCCCCTCCCCAGGGTTGGCACTCCCAGCCTGGGCCCTCACAGGTAAAGGCAGTGCCTGTGAGCTGTGGCCCGACTCTGGAAAATGATTAGCGACCCGGCCCTCCACAGGGGACAGCTGTGGCAGACTTCACACAGCGAGGAGGAGCTCTGAGAACTCCCTCTCCCTGAGAACCACACCCTCCACCCCTGAGACCCGCTCTGCCCCATCCGATCTGCACCCCAGCTGTGCACTGCCTGCCAGGATTCCTGTGAGGGGAGCGAGAGGAGGGGGCTGCAGCCAGAGGGCAGGCCCAGCTGTCCTTGATTTGTGTGGGGTTTTTCCACTTTGGATGCTGATTAGCCTGAGCTCATCAAGGATGTGGTTTCCTCCCAGGGAGGGGCTCCACAGAGGCCAGCCCCCCATTCCTGCCTTCCCCCGAGGGCCCGCTGTTCCCAGTTCACCCTGGTGGGAACTGAGGCGGGGCAGGAGCCCCTTGCTAGGGTGGGGCAGTGCTAACAGCAAGGGCTGTAGGGGCCCTCAAGGCCAGCTCTGGGCCAGTGTGGTGGCTCATGCTTATAATTCCAGCACTTTGGGAAGCTGAGGTAGAAGAATCACTTGAGCCCAGGACTTTAACACCAGCCTGGGCAACATAGTGAGATCCCGTATCTACCAAAAACTGTTTTTCATTCTTGACCTAGCCACTTTAATTTGTAACTTAAACGTACAATATAAAGTTGATAATCCTTGAAATTCTCACCTGGCTCTTGTAAAGAGTGAGTCTGAGTCTACACCTTCAGTCTTCGTCATCAGGAGGGATACCTAATTCTTCATCTGTCCACTGGGAAGGATCAGGAGACGGACAGTGACTCAGCATTCTTCATCTGTCCACTGGGAAGGATCAGGAGACGGACAGTGACTCAGCATGACTTCTGAGTCATGCCAAAAGCGCCAGAGAATCCAGAACCATGTGGTTGCACTTAAGATCTCACTCCAGGCCGGGCGCGGTGGCTCAAGCCTGTAATCCCAGCACTTTGGGAGGCCAAGGCGGGTGGATCACGAGGTCGACAGATCGAGACCATCCTGGTCAACATGGTGAAACCCCGTCTCTACTAAAAATACAAAAATTAGCTGGGCATGGTGGTGCGTGCCTGTAATCCCAGCTACTCAGGAGGCTGAGGCAGGAGAATTGCCTGAACCCAGGAGGCGGAGGTTGCAGTGAGCCGAGATTGCGCTATTGCACTCCAGCCTGGGTAACAAGAGCGAAACTCCGCCTAAAAAAAAAAAGAAAAAAAAGAAAGATCTCACTCCAGATCACCTGGGTTCTGGTCAGCCAGGGGAACTGTCTATACCGGGGCGTAATGTGCACACCAGCACCAGCATGAAGGACTCCACCTTCAGCAGCCCGTGCGCGGCCGCTTCTGAAAAGGAGGTCTCCAACGCCAGAGAAAGACGCCAGCCAAGTCAGAGCCAATATGCTCGCCCATGTCTGCCCCGTTGTTCCCGGCTCAAAAACTGTTTTAATTAGTCAGGCATGGTGGTGCACACCTGTGGTCCCAGTTACTCAGGAGGCTGAGGTGGGAGGATCTCTTCAGCACAGGAGGTCAAGGCTGCAGTGAACTATGCACCACTGCACTCCAGCCTGGGCCACAGAGCAAGACCCACTCTCAGGAAAAAAAAAAAAAAAAAAAAAAAAAGCTACCTCTGTCACCTCCTAGTAGGTGACCTTAGCAGGAATCCAGGCCCTGTGATCCTGTGAGCCTCACTTCCCTACTGTATTAAAGTTGGCCCTCGTCCCACTCCCTGAGCACTGAGCTCCTAAGTGCTTGGTGAATGTTCTTTATGATAAGGATCCAGAGAACATGCGGTATGGTCACAGAAGAATGGGTGCCCGGAGGGTGCTCCCACCCTGGGGAACCTGAGTACCTACCTCATAATTCCGTCTTTTCTGCAGACAAGGCTGGAGTGGAAGGGCATCACTGGCCTCACAGTGGCTTGCTGAACCCAGGGACACTGTGACACAGAAGGGTTGTGGGGCTGCCCAGGATTTGCCACGGCAGACCAGATTCCCAGCGTCGGGAAGGACGCTTCCCCAGTCTTCAGTCCCATGCCTGCTGGGAGCCTGCTTGGGGCTGCAGGGTTTGCCAGAGGAGCCAGACCTCTCCTGTGGAGAGGTGGCCCCCAGCCTGCTTCCAGTCGCCCTCATTCCTTTCCCTTGGGTCTTCCTGGAGGAAGCAGCACAGACAGAAGGCGATTTGTTACTAGTTCCTGTCCACCTCCCACAGTGAATAACTGGGCCCTGCAAACTGATTCTTGCCCACTCACCTGGCTCAGCTCAATTTGTAACAATGTTGGCTAGGCATGGTGGCTCACGCCTGTAATCCCAGCACTTTAGGAGGCTGAGGCAGGAGGATCACGAGGTCAAGAGATCCAGACCATCCTGGCCAACATGGTGAAACCTGTCTCTACTAAAAATATAAAAATTAGCCAGGCGTGGTGGCGCCCGCCTGTAGTCCCAGCTACTAGGGAGGCTGAGCCAGGAGAATCGCTTGAATCTGAGAGGAGGAGGTTGCAGTGAATGAAGATCATGCCACTGCACTCCAGCCTGGCGGCAGAGCTAGACTCAGTCTCAAAACCAACCAACCAACCAACCAACTAACCAAAACATAATTGATGGAGCTCAGGAGCTCACACCTGTAATACCAGCACTCTGGGAAGCCGGGGCGGGGGATTCCTTGGCCCAGGAATTCAAGGCCAGCCTGGGCTCAGGCCTGTAATCCCAGCACTTTGGGAGGCCAAGGCAGGTGGGTCATTTAAGCCCAGGAGTTTCAGACCATCCTGGACAACATGGCAAAAACCCGTCTCTACTAAAACTACAAAACTCAGCTGGGTGTAGTAACAAACCTGTAGTCCTAGCTATCCGGGAGGCTGAGCTGGGAGGATTGCTTGAGTCCAGGAACTCGAGGCTGCAGCGAGCCATGGTCGTGCCACTGTACTCCAGCCCAGGTATCAGAGACCCCTTTTTTTTTTTTTTTTTTTTTTTTTTTTTTTTTGAGACGGAGTTTCGCTCTTGTTACCCAGGCTGGAGTGTGCAATGGCACGATCTCGGCTCACCGCAACCTCCGCCTCCTGGGTTCAAGCAATTCTCCTGCCTCAGCCTCCTGAGTAGCTGGGATTACAGGCACGCACCACCATGCCCAGCTAATTTTTTGTATTTTAGTAGAGACGGGGTTTCACCTTGTTGACCAAGGTTGGTCTCGATCTCTTGACCTTGTGATCCACCCGCCTCGGCCTCCCAAAGTGCTGGGATTACAGGCTTGAGCCACCGCGCCCGGCCTCAGAGACCCCTTTAAGAAGAAACCACCAAACTGTAATCATGACAAACGAAATCAAACTGGAGAGGTGGGGTCAGCCCAGGTCAGAGGCAAGGACGGTGGAAACCTTTGAGGGAGCGACCTGGTCTGGTTATCACTTTGCAGAGAGGGCCCTGGCTGGGGGAAGGCAGCTGGGAGCTCTCTGGGTTGTCGGGAAGAGAGGTGGGCGAGGAAGGAGGCCTGGCAGGTGGAAACCCAGGATCTGGCCCTGACGGCGGGCCAGGTCCGGGCAGCCTAGGTCTCACCCAGCTGCCCTGGAGAAGGGGATGGGGGCGTCCTGCTTCCACCCACGCCCACGCACGCCTACCGTTCCCACCAGCCGTGCCGCGCCCGCCCCCAGCTCTGTCCTGCTCTGGTGACCCCAGACAGGGCACACGCGGCCGCGACTGCGCTGCCTGTAGCGGTCACTTCGTGAAGGCCAGCTATCTCTTGCAGCCGCCCCTGCACCCTCGGACGCCCAGAGGCCTTGGCCTGGGTGCCAGGCACCCCCCGGAGGGCGGGCGTGGCGGAGGGGCCTTCTCCGCGAGCACCGCTCGCCGCCTCCGCCGCGCCACCCCGCGGCTACCCGGGGAACTGCAGCGTCGGCCCATACCCGCGCCTGCGCACTCAGACCCGCCCGGCCCGGCCGCGCGGAGCGAGCTTGCCCCCTGCCGGTCAGGTCTGCGCACGGTCCCGCGCCCGGGTCCGGGGTGCCGCCTCGAGGGCCGGGGCTTGCAGCGGGTAGGCGGCTCCCGCGCCAGGGGCCGCAGTCCCACCTTAGGTTCTGCGCGGCAGCCGACACCCAGGGGAGCAGAAAGCGGTGGGTGAGCAGGAGTCCAAAGCATGGTCGGTCCCCATTCGTGCCGCAGACGTCTCCTGGTGGCTGCTCCGACCCAGGCCTGGGCCCTGGCCAGGGATCACAGTGTCCTGGACACAGAGTTCCTCTTTCTGCCCCGTCCCTCGCCCGAGGTGACCACCCAGCCGTGCCCAGGCGTGCCCGCTGCTCCTGAACCCAACTCTTGAGAGGCAAGGCTGTGCCCTCGGGAGGAAGGGGAGGCACCCTCAGAGTCTTCTGTTTCTCAAGGAAATCGAGGGGGCAGCCCCGAGGATGGGGTGTAACCCAGAAGGAGCCGGAGGGCGGGGTGGCTGATTCCACACAGACGCTCCATTGCTGGAAACACCACCCCGTTCTCTAGTGACACCGGCACACAGCCCTTGCCCACAGCCATCCCTTGCTGGGCCCTCAAATTGGAGTCTGCTTGCTGCCCACCCCCAGAAGCCAGTCGCCCCCTCCCACCTTCACCTCCCTACCACACCCCTCCTAACTTGGATGTGCAGATGAGCCTGCGGCCCTGGGGTGCAGGCAGCATTCACCGCTCCCCAGCCCCCACGCAGGCTCAGCACCCCTGCGCTGCTGTGGTGAGATATCCTGGCAGGCCTCCCACCTCCCAGCTACAGGCCTGGACGCAGCGACACAGTGGAGCCCGGGACACAGCCCTGGGGACACAGCCCTGCACACAGGGGCCCAGTTTGCAGGTGAAGGCCAGTCTGCTCTGGGGCCTGAGTCCACTCTTGGAATCATGCTGGCCCCCGATGCAGAGGTGGGAGTGCTGCGAGAAGGCAGCACCGTCCAGACCCTGCCTGGCTCCGCGCCTCTGAAGTCCGCTGCCTGCTCAACAACTCCCTCTCTGCCGCCACAGAGCCGCCTTCCACAGGCCCTGCCCGCAGAGCCCTTCCCAGAGCCACTGTTCCTCCTGCAGGGAGAAGCAGAAACGGGCAGGTGTGGACAGAGAGGACCTGAGCTGGCTGCCTGGAGCAGTACTGGAAGCCCCGCGCACCCCTGCCAGGCTGACCGTCACCAGCTGACCTGGCATGGCAGGAACCTGATCAGTCGGCCAAGTGGCCACGTGTGGCCCAGAGTGGCAGGGCCCCAGCCCAGAGAGGGAGTTGTCGGAGCTCCTCCTTGCTGTGTGAAGTCTGCCCCAGCTGTCCCCGGTGGAGGGTGGGGCCATGGCTCACAGGCCCTGCCTTTGCCTGTGAGGCCCCGCCTTTTCCTGTGAGGCCCCAGCCTGGGGGTGCCCACCCTGGGGAGGGGACAGACTGGGAAAGAGGTGGAGAGGGGTGTCGGGGAGGGACACACACACACACACACACACACACACACGCAGTCACTTAGTCATTCAGCAAACATCAGCTCTCACTCTGGTCAGGGGTGGAGCCATGAAAGGAATCAAGACTGACCCCATCTCTGCCCTTGCAGAGCTCATGGGTAGGTGGAGACAGGGATCAAAATCACTCACAAAGAAATAGTTACAGTCGGTGAAGGGGACAGAGACACAGCCAGGACACTGGTCGTGGATCGGAGGCCAGGCAGGGCCTTCCTCCCAGCATGGCCTGGCTTTCCAGGACTCCCCACTTCTTCCCCTCTCTGTCTTCTCCTGCTTTGGCCCTCCTTGTCACCTCCCCAAGGGACGAGGTTTACTGGGCCCACCAGTGGGAGCAGCACAGCCCATCTCCCCTCCCAGCCACGACATCAGGCTGACCCTCTGCATGTCTCACAGCCGGAGGATGGACAGACAGACCATCCGCCTAGTCGTCTGGCTTAGACAGGGGTCAAGATGAGCTCTGGCAGTGTGGACCCTCAGAACTGGCAGTGTGGACCCTCAGAACCCCCGGGGCCTTGGGAGAATCTGGCTGGGCAGAAGGAACTTGTTGATATCTGTTTCTCGGCAGAGGACATTCAGACAGAGAGCAGGACACAAGGGACCCTTCCAGAATGCAGGGACACTCCCCACCCTCTGTCCCTACGGCCTGGTCTGTCCATTACCTTGTAGCTCAGAGAAGGGGGATCCACAGTCCACGGGTCATACAGGAAGGAGCTGGCAGAGCATCGGACCTGGGCCCCCCAACTGCAAGGCCAAGGAGGAGCTGCTCAGGTGTCCTGGGGAGGAGGGAGGAAAGCCACTGTGTGGGTGAGGAGCATGGATAAGAAGTTCCTGAAATTATCATATTTAACCTTCACAAGCCACTCCGCGCAGTTACTATATGATTGAGCAATTCCACTTCTAGATATGTTCCCTACAGACAGGAATCCTATGTCCACACCAAACCATCTACCTGGATGTTCACGGCAGCACTATTCATAAGAACCCCACAGTAGACATCAAAGAGGGAATCAGCAAAAGGTGGTCCATGCATGTGATGGAGTACTACTCAGCCATGAAGAGGAGTGAGGCACTGACACACGCCACAGTGCGGATGAACCTGGAGAACATTATGCTGAGTGAGAGATGCCAGACACAAAAGGAAATTGTATAATTCTCTCTCTTTTTTCTTTTTAGAGATAGAGTCTCACTCTATCTCCCAGGCTGGAGTGCAGTAGTGCAATTTCAGCTCACTGCAACCTCTGCCTCCTGGGTTCAAGTGATTCTCCTGCCTCAGCCTCTCACGTCACTGGGATTACAGGCCTGTGCAATCATGCCTGGCTAATTTTTTGTATTTTTAGTAGAGACAGGGTTTCTCCATGTTGGTCAGGCTGGTCTTTTTTTTTTTTTTTTTTTTTTTTTTTTTTTTTGGCCGGGCGCGGTGGCTCAAGCCTGTAATCCCAGCACTTTGGGAGGCCGAGGCGGGTGGATCACGAGGTCGAGAGATCGAGACCAACCATGGTCAACATGGTGAAACCCCGTCTCTAATAAAAATACAAAAAATTAGCTGGGCATGGTGGTGCGTGCCTGTAATCCCAGCTACTCAGGAGGCTGAGGCAGGAGAATTGCCTGAACCCAGGAGGCGGAGGTTGCGGTGAGCCGAGATCGCACCATTGCACTCCAGCCTGGGTAACAAGAGCGAAACTCCGTCTCAAAAAAAAAAAAGAATTTTTTTTTTTTTTAAATCAAATATTCTTTTCTTTTCTTTATTTATTTAGTTTTTTTTTTTTTTTTTTTTTTTTTTTTTTTGAGATGGAGTTTCGCTCTTGTTACCCAGGCTGGAGTGCAATGGTGCGATCTCGGCTCACTGCAACCTCCGCCTCCTGGGTTCAGGCAATTCTCCTGCCTCAGCCTCCTGAGTAGCTGGGATTACAGGCACGAGCCACCATGCCCAGCTAATTTTTTTTTGTATTTTTAGTAGAGACGGGGTTTCACCATGTTGACCAGGATGGTCTCGATCTCTTGACCTCGTGATCCACCCGCCTCGGCCTCCCAAAGTGCTGGGATTACAGGCTTGAGCCACCGAGCCCGGCCTTATTTAGTTATTTTAAAGACGAGGTTTCACCATGTTGGTCAGGCTGATCTTGAACTCCTGACCTCAGGTGATCCACCCGCCTTGGCCTCCAAAGTGCTAGGATTACAAGTGTGAGCCACCACACCCAGCCGAGGCTGGTCTTGAACTCCCAAACTCAGGTGATCCACTCGCCTCAGCCTTCCAAAGTGCTGGGAATACTGGTGTGTGCCACTGCGGCCGGCTAGTTTGTAAATTTTCTATAGAGACAGTGTTTTGCTTTGTTGCTCAGGTTGATCATGAACCCCTGGCTTCAAGCCATGATTCTCTTTCTGTGAAATGTCCAGAAAAGGCAAATCCATAGAGACAGAAAGTAGATTCGTGGTTGCCAGGGGCTGGGGAAATGGGAGAGAATAGGACATAATTGCTAATAGACACAGAATTTCTTTTTGGGGTGATAGAAATGTTCTAAAATTGATTGTGGGCCTGGCGCGGTGGCTCAAGCCCATAATCCCAGCACTTTGGGAGGCCGAGGCGGGCGGATCACTGAGGTCAAGAGATCGAGACCATCCTGGACAACATGGTGAAACCCCGTCTCTACTAAAAAAAAAAAAAAAAAATTAGCTGGGCGTGGTGGTGTACACCTGTGGTCCCAGCTACTTGGGAGGCTGAGGCGGAAGAATTGCTTGAACCCAGGAGGCGGAGGTTGCAGTGGGCCGAGATTGTGCCACTGCATTCTAGCCTGGTGCCTGGCGACAGAGTGAGACTCTGTCTCAAAAAAAAAAAAAAAAAAAAAAAAAATTGATTGTGGTGATGATTGCACAACTGTGAATATACTGAAAACCAAGGATTTGCAGAGGACAAGTGGCTGGAGTGTATGGTGTGTGAATTACATTGAAATAACGCTGTTCCCGAAGAGACCCTTCAGCGTCACCACTGGGGTCTTCAATTTACAAAGAAGGGTCTGGGCCGGGCACAGCAGCTATGCCTGTAATCTCAGCACTTTGGGAGGCTAAGGCAGGCGGATCATGAGGTCAGGAATTTGAGACCAGCCTGACCAACATGGTGAAACCCTGCCTCTACTAAAAATACAAAAATTAGCCAGGCGTTGTGGCACGTACCTGTAATCCCATCTACTCTGCAGGAGACTCGCTCGAACCCGGGAGGTGGAGGTTGCAGTGAGCGGAGATAGTGCCACTGCACTCCAGCCTCAGAACAAAACAAAACAACCTGGTGGCTCAGAGTTGGTGGGAGCCTGAGGAGGAGGCAGGGCTGGACCAGCCTCAGACCAGTGTCTAAGCTTCATCCCAGTTCCAGCCCGGCCTTAAGCTCCACCCCATCCTCTACTGCCCGGGGCTCTCTGCTGCTGAGGCTTCACCCACATGGTTCCTTGGCCTGAAATGCTGTTCTCCTCCTCTTCAGCAGGCTGTCACCTCCAGAAAGCCTTCCTGACCTCTCCTCCCATGCATACCCTTCCACTGAGCCCGCGTGTCTGGGGCCCAGTTCTGGGGTCTGGTCAGCGGTCTTCACCCTGTCAGCCCCGTGTGGCCCCCTCTGACCGGGGCTGCTGAAGGGTGGGAGCTGCGGAATGTCTGTGGGTTGTGGAGGGCCTCTGCCCTTTGAGGCAGCCCAGCTGCTGGGACTTGTCCAGATACCATTAGGGCTGGAATGGCTCATTAATGAGCAGAGCTCAGGGCAGGGGCTGTGAGCCAGTGGCCGGAAAGATGCTGGGCCTTTTCAGGGAGCCTGTGCCTGCCTGGCACCAACCCTTCAGCCAGGAAGGCTGGGGCAGAGGCAGAAGGAGGACCTGGGTCTAATGCCATCTTTCCCCGGGGACGGGGCGAGTTGCTCACCCTCTCTGAGCCCCGCTGGCCTCCCCTGCAGGCTGTTGCTGGGCATTCAGTGCACCTGGTGGGATGTGAGGATCCTGCAGTGTCCAGCGTCCCACAGGTCCCAGCTGAAAGGCCCCGGAATCTCACGCCCCTCAGAGGCAGCCCCTAGGGCAAGTCCTGGGCTCCTTCCCTTCCCCAACACAGAGCTCCCTGAGCCCTTCGAACCTCCAGTGGGGGCCACTTTGCCAACTTCCAAAATGTGTTACTGACATCTCAGGGGAGTTCCAGGTGGACAAGGCTGGGCAAATGGGGTGACCTAGTAGACAGAGTAGGTCTCAGGCCTGAATTCAGCTCACCGCTGGGACCCTGGGAGGGAAGCCTGTCTTCTCTGGGCCTGTCCCCTCCATTCTAAAACTGTAACTAGAGGTGACTTGGCCTCTCAGCTGCCAGGCTGTGACCCTGATGTGTGGCAAGGCTGACTGTCAGCTGGGAGTGTAGGACGCACCCCATTCCTGGCCGCAGACTTCCCCTACACTTTCTGGGACCCCTGTCTGCACACTAGGGTGCTGGCCGGTCCTCCTCCCTTGGCAGGCCGAATGCTTCCTCGGTCCGCTTGGTCTGGCGATGAGGCTCCCACTTCTGCAGGCCAAGGCTCAGCCCGTGCACCTGCTGCGCACGTCCCGGAGTAGGTCGCGGCGGGGGGTGGCGGGGGAGGGCGTCCGCTTTCAAACAGAAGGTCCGGGGCCCGCGAACCGCCCTGTCCCTGCCCTTCGTCCCGAACCGCCGCCGCTGCATCGTCCCCGCGCAGGGATGAAGACGTCCTAGCCAAGCGATCCAGAGCCTGGGGTCTCAGAGCGGGAGCGTCTTTGTAGTCCTGGCAGCTCGAGTCGCGCCCGGGTGGTGGCGGCTGCCGGCTGGTCCCAGACCCGGCAGTGACCTCGGAGGGGGAGGGCGTCCCGGCCCCGCCTCTGGACCCGCCTCGCGCCCGCTCCCAGGCTGCGGGGCCGCGGGGCGCAGAGCAGAAACCGGGCGCCCACGGGCTGAGTGTCGCGCGGGCAGGGATGCGCGCCCTCCTGCGGCCCCCGATCCCGGGACAGGGCGCGGCGCGACCCCATGGCAGTTAGCGGCGGCCTGGGCGGCGTGGCCGTGGGCGGCCAGGGCGCTGGGGCCGGTCAAGGGGCAGCTCTGCCGGCGTCCCGTGCGCCGCTGCTGCTCGTGGTCCTGGTGCTCGGCGCCTACTGCCTCTGCGCCCTCCCCGGCCGCTGCCCGCCGGCCGCCAGCGCCCCGGGGCCGGCCCCGGCGCCAGCCGAGCCGTCCAGCTCCGTCCGCCGCCCGGGAGCCACGGACCTGCCTGTAGCCATCGGCCCCGGCCGCCGGCGCTTCCCGCAGGCGCTCATCGTGGGCGTGAAGAAAGGTGGCACGCGCGCCCTGCTGGAGTTCCTGCGGCTGCACCCCGACGTCCGCGCGCTCGGCTCCGAGCCCCACTTCTTCGACAGGTGCTACGAGCGCGGCCTCGCCTGGTATCGGTGAGCACCCTGGCCCGTCAGCCCGGTCCGCTTACGTGCGCGGCCCGGCCGGCGCCTTCCTGGGGAGGGTATCGTGTGCTCCAGGGAGCATCGGGGAGAGGTCTCCGGGCACTGGGGCTGGGACCACCCTGTTGGGGGGCCCAGGCTTGACCCAGGGACGCGGCTGGGGAAGGAGGAATAGTACCTGGCTAGGATTTCCTAAAACTTTGAAGACACTGGGGGAAAGCCCCGGTTCCCTTCGCTCTACTGAGGGACCTACTGGGACTGGGGGTGGCGGTGCGATCCCAGCCGGGAGGTCCTTCCTAGCCCATGGGATTGCCTGGGAGCGTTAGAAATGCCTCTCCTGCCCTGTCACTGGGCACGCAGGTGTGACTCTCTGACCCCTGGCCAGGTACCCTAGAAAGGGCCCTCCAGATTCCAGGCTGGGCAGATGGGGTGACTTAGCAGACAGAGTAGGTCTCAGGCCTGAAAGCGTCCTTCCTCCCCAAGACCCCCAACTCTGGGCACAGGAACCCTCTCGGTGGTCGTGGGAGTCCGGAGAAAGTCTGGGTTTGGAAAGGAGGAGGCTGCCTTTAGGTGAGTGCCCAGGGTGACTCCAGCCCCAAGCATGGGGTTCTGTGGCTGTTCTGCCTCTACTTAGGATGGACGTGGGCTGTGGCAGTGGAATGTGGGGAGCATGCAGCCCCAGCTGAAGCACCCCGCTCTGGTGGCTGTTCACCCCCAAGCTTGGACGGAGCCCCTGCCAAGAGCACCCTGTCCAAGGCCACCTGGCAAATCCGTGGGAGCGGCAGGACCCAAGCACTTCACCTCCAGATACTCCAGTTTCTCGGTTGCGGATCTGCTGATCCTCTTTCTCCCCCAACTCCTACCCCTATTTGTTAACTTTGCCTTTTGCCTTTTGCAGGAAAACGACTCTTGGGTTTGGAGGGCAGGCAGGGAGGGGCTCCGTGAAAGCAGGGGGGCTGGCTTTTGAGATCTGGAGGGCTGGTGCCAGCAGCAGGTGCTGGGGAAGTCAGGTGGTGGCTGGGGGAGGTGGACTCCATCCTGGAGCTCACCTGGCTGAATCAGGCATCATCAGCTCAGGCTCTGGGGCCAGACCTCACTCCCCTGATGGCGGGCAGGATTCAGAATGCATCCCTAATCCCTGCTGCTGGGAGGAGGGGAGGAGGAGCTACTTGGGAGGCTGAGGCAGAATAATCGCTTGAACCCGGGAGGCAGACGTTGTAGTGAGCCGAGATAGCGCCACTGCTCTCCAGCCTGGGCAACAGAAAGAGACTCTGTCTCAAACAAAACAAAAAACCAAAAGAAAAGGAAGAAGAGGCAAGGAGTGGGGTGAGAAGGGGAACCCCTTAGTTCCTGAGGCGCAAGGGCAGTGGGTGCAGGGAGGGGCCTGGGCTTCTGTGGGACTCCACTTCCCATCAGTCCTGGAGAGAGGCTCCTGTGTTGGGGATGCAATCCCCCAGCACTTTCTGGCTTTGACATCTGCTGAGTCCCAGGCCCGAGGTGCGGGGCAGGAGGAGGGAGGCTGAGACAGAGGAGGGAGGGTCGCCCAGGGCTGGATGGAAGCCGCAGGGAAATGCACACCAGATGAGGCGGGCTCCGAAGGGAGGGAGGGTCAGGAGGGTCCTCAGAGCAACTTGTCAGATGTTTGTCACACGGAGGTCGAGTCCTCTCCCCTCCTCCCCCATCTCTACCACCCTTATCCATACCCGGGCTAGGACAGGCTTCTGATGCCTGGGGAGGGAAAGTAATTGATCCCAAAGATCTCAAATCTCTGAGCTGGTTTGTGCAAGAGGGGACCTCGAAAACCCTTGCCACCTCCCCGTGTTCCCACCCCCCTTCCACGGCAGGGGGTCTGGGAACTCCATCCCGATTCGGAGTTCTCTCTTTGGAGAGAAAGTCTGGGGGGGCGAACATTCCTGCGTCTCTCCAGCAGCGTGAAGAGGAGGCTGTTCAGTCACTGGTGTGACATTTGGGAAAGGAAAGGGGTGGGCTCCCGGTCTCCCCCGGTGCCTGGGGTCAGGGTGTGTCCCTGATGGGAGAGAAGGGCCTGGGGCGTCCTTCCTGGCAGAGGGATGTGAAGGGAAGCAATGACTTCTGATGAGGCCTGGCAGGGTCTGCCCGCCCTGGCTTCTCTCTGTGGGTATCGTCATCGGGGTCCCGTGGTGGGGGGGGGATACCTCCCCTTCACATGACCTCCTCTCACGGACAGGAGTGCCCCTGAGCTGCTGGGCCTCAGACCACCCGAAGTCTCTGTGTTTATTAGTGGGACACTGGGTGCAGTTCCCACGTGGATTCCAGCTGCAGGAGGTGGGATGGGGAGTGCAGGGGTTTGGGGACCGAGCCCAGCCTTCCAGATGGGCTGGAAGGAGGCAGCCCCCAAGGGTGGGAAGAGGGAAGGCTGAGCCCCATGCTCACCCCTGGTACCCCTCCTCCTCCAGTCTCAGTGTGGCTGCCTCCAAAGTGACAGCAGGCGGGTGGAGGGAGTCCCTGCTCCCTCTGCCGTCAAGATGGAGGAGGACTTGTCCGGTGACGTCTGTAGGCCAGCTCTGCCCAGGGCCTGGCTCTGAGGGGCCAGTAGGCTCCCATGCCACCCACTCCCACTCTGCCCTGCTTATGCGTGGTGTTGTGGGGAAGCCTGTATTCTCTCCCACTGTCCACACACATCCTGTCCCACCTCCAGCATTCTCTGCTGAGCACCCCAGCTGAGTTTTCCTGGGGGTCTGAGCAGGGGACTCAGGTCCTGAATCTGGGGATCACTTCTGGTACTTCAGCCTCCTGGCAGGGGGCACTCCTGGGGCAGTCAGCAGGAGTGTGGGAAGCCCCCTCAGAGGGCAGGAGGCAGAGTAGGGCATGGCCGGGCAGGGCACCCCTCCCTAACACAGGTCCCACAGCCTTTGCCTCTATTGACCTAGTTCCCACCCTTCCCCCGCTCTCCCTTGGAGCTGTTTGCTCAGCTGATCTGCCCCGCCCTGCCCTGCCCAACCTCACCCTGCACTACCTGGCTAGCAGGTGCTGCCCTGGACACTCCTGGGGGTGCCTGGGCCTGCCTGGGCTGGGCACCAGGATGGGCTCTCTGCCCAGGTAGGCCAGTCCTGGGGTAAGGTCAGCTGATTCCCCCGGGACCTTGGGACTGGCTCAGTGCCCTCCTCCCCTGGGTCACAATGATGAGGAGCTCAGAAAACCCCCCTCCCCAGCCTGGCATCAAGGCAACTGGCAAGATCTGGGGGTCCACAGCGGCCCAGGGTCTTGGGAAGGATCCTCAGACCAGCACAGCCACATTTCCGACTTTCCTCACATGTGCTGGGCTCTGCTGGTAGCTTTTTGGTCTCCTGAGTCCAGGCCCAGGTTGATGAGAATTCGAAGATCTACAATTAAAGATGGGGAGAGGCCGGGGGAGGTGGCTACGCTTGGAATCCCAGTACTTTGGGAGGCCGAGGAGGGTGGATCACTTGAGGTCAGGAGTTTGAGACTAGCCTGGCCAACATGGAGATTGAGACTAGCCTGGCCAACATGGAGAAACCCCATCTCTACTAAAAATACAAAATTAGCTAGATGTGGTGGCGCATGCTTGTAATCCCAGCTAATGGGGACGCTGAGGCAGGAGAATTGCCTGAACCTGGGAGGTGGAGGTTTCTGTGAGCTGAGATCATGCCATTGCACTCCAGCCTGGGCAACAGAGTGAAACTGCATCTCAAAATAAAACAAAACAAAAAACGGATGGGGAGAGAGGCTGGGCGGGGTGGCTCACCCCTGTAATCCCAGCACTTTGGGAGGCTGAGGTGGGTAGATCACTTGAGGTCAGGAGCTCAAGACCAGCCTGGCCAATATGGCGAAACCCCGTCTCTACTAAAAACACAAAAATTATCTGGGTGTTGGGGCGAGGGCCTGTAATTCCAGCTACCTGGGAGGCTGAGGCAGGAGAATCACTTGAACCCGGGAGGCAGAGGTTGCAGTGGGCTGAGATCACGCCACTGCACTCCAGCCTGGGTGACAAGAGTGAGACTCTGTCTCAAAAAATAAATAAAAGATGAGGGGAGAGATGTAGTTACATCAGGGTGGGGCGGGGAGGGTGACTTTATGTTGAGGACATTGTCAATAATTGGTGATTTAGGGCGCTGGAGGTGAGGATGGCAGAGATTGTGTAGGGAAGATACACGGGTGGTGAGGGGCATGTTGGGGCGACCATCACCCTCTTATCCTCAGAGCAGCAGGAGGCAGGGCAGGCGGCGCTCGGCTGGGCACCCTCACAGTACAAGTTCTAGGCTGCCCAGCCACGCACGTTAGGAGGGGTGGGCCGCGCGGGGAGGAAGCCTTGCCTACCTTGGAGGCCTGGGCGTCTCCCAGGGGCCGGTCTAGGGCTAGGGAGGCTGAGGCCCCGTTTTCTCACATCCGTCCCACAGGAGTCTGATGCCGCGAACCTTGGACGGGCAGATCACCATGGAGAAGACCCCCAGCTACTTCGTGACGCGAGAGGCGCCCCGCCGGATCCACGCCATGTCCCCGGACACGAAGCTAATCGTGGTGGTGCGGAACCCCGTGACCCGGGCCATCTCCGACTACGCCCAGACGCTCTCCAAGACCCCGGGCCTGCCCAGCTTCCGCGCCCTGGCCTTCCGCCACGGCCTGGGCCCCGTGGACACGGCCTGGAGCGCCGTCCGCATCGGCCTGTATGCACAGCACCTGGACAACTGGCTGCGCTACTTCCCGCTGTCCCACTTTCTGTTCGTCAGCGGGGAGCGCCTGGTCAGCGACCCCGCCAGGGAGGTCGGCCGCGTGCAGGACTTCCTGGGCCTTCGGCGGGTCGTCACGGACAAGCACTTCTACTTCAACGTCACCAAGGGCTTCCCCTGCCTCCGAAAGGCCCAGCGCGGCCGCCGGCCCCGCTGCCTGGGCAAGTCCAAGGGCCGGCCCCACCCGCGCGTGTCCCAGGCTGTGGTCCGGCGCCTGCAGGACTTCTACCGGCCCTTCAACCGCAAGTTCTACCAGATGACGGGCCAGGACTTCGGCTGGGACTGAGTGGCGCCCTGGGGATGCCCAGCACCTTGACTGACATCGGCTCACCTGGCCAGAGCAGCCTGTGTGCACATGGTGCGCGGAGGGGACTAGTTAGGAAAGCAAGCTTGGGACACGGTGCGGTGGCTCACGCCTGGAATCCCAGCACTTTGGGAAGCCGAGGCGGGCAGATCACAAGGTCAGGAGTTCGAGACCAGCCTGGTCAACATAGTGAAACCTAGTCTCTACTAAAAATACAGCTCAAGCCTGTAATCCCAGCACTTTGGGAGGCCGAGGCGGGTGGATCACAAGGTCGAGAGATCGAGACCAACCTGGTCAACATGGTGAAACCCCGTCTCTACTAAAAATACAAAAAATTAGCTGGGCATGGTGGCACGTGCCTGTAATCCCAGCTACTCAGGAGGCTGAGGCAGGAGAATTGCCTGAACCCAGGAGGCGGAGGTAGCGGTGAGCCGATATCACGCCATTGCACTCCAGCCTGGGTAACAAGAGCGAAACTCCGTCTCAAAAAAAAACAAACAAACAAAAAAAATTAGCCAGGTGTGGTGGCTGGCGCCTGTAGTCCCAGCTACTCGGGAGGCTAAGGCAGGAGAATCACTTGAACCTGGGAGGCAGAGGTTGCAGTAAGCTGAGATCATGCCATTGCACTGCAGCCTGCGTGACAGAGCGAGGCCCTGCCTCAAAAATAAATAAATAAATAAATAAATAAATAAATAAAGCTTGGACCCAGATTTTTCTTCAAGACCTTGAGGTTGGACGGTGGAGGGGCCGCCCCAGGGATGTGATAACTATACCAGTGAACTCCACTGGGCACTGACTGTGTGTCTCTTGTCACCCAAAACTCTTTTTTTTTTTTTTTGAGATGGAGAAAACCTCTGTGGCCCAGGCTGGAGTGCAGTGTCATGATCTCGGCTCACCGTAGCCTCCACTTCCCAGGTTCCAGTGATTCTCCTGCCTCAGCCTCCCAGGTAGCTGGGGCTACAGGCGTCTGCCACCACGCCTGGCTATTTTTTTTTTTTTTTTTAAAGATTGGGTTTCACCGTGATGGCCAGGCTTGTCTTTAACTCCTGATCTCAGGTGATCCACCCACTTCGGCCTCCCAAAGTGCTAGGATTACAGGCGTGAGCCACCGCACCCGGCACCTAATTTTTGTAGAGATGTGGTTTTGCCATGTTGGTCAGGCTGGTCTCGAACACCTGCCCTCAAATGATCCGCCTGCCTTGGCCTCCCGGTGCTGGGATTACAGGTGTGAGCCACCCACCGCGCCCAGCCCAAAACTCATTCTTTGTACACCCTCAGAGGTGGGCGGTGTGCCTTGTCAGGTCTAGCATGTGAGCTTGGAGAGGCTCAGGGCATGCCCAGTGACACGCAGCTTAGTCCTAGTGACACTCGGGGCCACACACTTCTCAGACCTGGGAGGCTGGGCAAGGCTGTCCTCAGGTTCAGGATGAGGACGCTGACGCCACAGGCTGCTCTGTGGACTGGTGGGGCAGGATTAAAGTTAGGTCTGCACCTACCACCTTGGTTCATTCCGCATCCAGATGCACAGCGGACTCTTCCTTCTGGAGCTTTCTGTGGAACTGCCCGGTTGTTCGTGAGAGCAGCGAGTGTTGGGTGTGTGGGTAGGGCGATGATTAACAGCCTCGTAGACTTCCTTGTAGAGCCCCACCCACTCCCAGGCCCCACCCACTCCCAGGCCCCACCCACTCCCCCAGGCTCCTGCTGCCCTAGTTCCGCTGTGTTCTGGGCCCTCCACTGGGGACAGGGCTGGAACCAGTGGCCATCTGCAGCCCAGCTGCCCGCTCATAACTGAGGCAAGACTCAGGTAGGCTGGGGTGCCCAGTCCACCCCGTGTCCCGGGCACGGGAGGGTCCCCTCAGTCATGACTCTCACCTGCTCCTGGCCACGTACGGTCTTCCAGGGGCCCACCAGCTGTCCTGATGATGACCCCGGCGCTGCTTGGGCTCAGCTCCAGGCCTGTCTTGGGGCCTGGCTGCGGTCTCCACAGCCTGGCTGAGCCTTGGGTCCCACCCTGATGTGGTCTTTCTGCCTCTCTTGGAGGCCCAGACACAGGCAGTGAGGAAGGATTTGCAGGAGGGCCGCCTGTCAGCCTCCCCTGCCCTCTGGCTTTGAGCCAGTGGCTCCATCCGTGACCACAGCCACTGTCTGCCACACGACGGCTGGGTAAGGAGGGGAGGCAGGGGCTGCGTCTGGACACCCACCCCTATTCCTGTTAGTTTCTGGGCCCAGTGGCCTCTCCCATCTGTCTGCAGCTGCCCTAAGGGGCAGGTGCTTCCTCCAAGCCCCTCCGTCCCAGGCCACAACAGAGGCAGGTTCCAGGCTCCCCTCAAAGCACCCACCCAGAGACTGCAGTGGCAACGTGGTGGGCAGATGTGGCCCCAGATGTGGACAAGTCATAGGCCTAGAAGTTCTGATGTGGGTGGAGGGGAAAGAGCCTGCCTGACTGACAGCAGCCACGGGAGGAGGGAACAGACTCCACCTGGGATCCCTGCCTGGAGGGGATCACTGGGCTTGGCTGCTCTGGCCTCACCCCGTGCACAGGTGCCCCCTGTGAAGACGGCCCAGCTGCCTGCCCTGGATGGTGGGGCTGGAAGGGAGACAGGACAGCCCCTGGCTCCTGGTGACCCAGTTCCCACTGGGTGCATGTGGATTTCTTCTTCCCAGACACACCCTTCCCGTGCCGGGACAGTTTCACCGGCAGTCACAGAGTAAACCAGATCCTAGTATTTTACAATGCTGTGATCCCCGCCTTCACCCTTTACTGGTTTTAGGATGAAAACCAGACTCCTGACCACAGCTGTTACAGCCCTGTAAGCCTTGCCTGCCCCTCAGCCCTACGTGCACCCCTCATTCCAACACGCCTGCCACACTGGCACCTGCCAGCTCCTTCCACCGCCGTGCTCTGTCCGAACTCACAGGCTTTGCATGCACTGTTCCCTCTGCCTGGAATGCCTTTCCCTGCAGAAGGTGCCCACGGAGATGGAGGCAGCCTTTGAGGGGCAGCTGTGCCTTCACTGAGGCTGTGCTACTTTCCTCCCTCTGTTGAGAGTTCCTTTTCTGAGCCCACCAAATCACCCCACTGTTCCCTTCCTGACACGGAGCTGTGAGGGGTGGGGCGATGGTTTGCCTGGCTCTGGGGCCTGAGCCCAGGGCCTGGGGGGCAGGCCCTGGAAGCAGCGAGGGGAGAGGGTGGGCTGGCATGTTGTGCACCCTGCAAGTGGGAGCTCCACCTAACCTCCAGCACCCCATGAGGGTGAGGTGCCCAGCTGTGCCTCTGAACACACGGAGGGCAGATGTGGGGGGACCTACGGGCTGCATGCCGGGAGGGGCTCCCTGGGAGAGTCATCGGCCTTTAATTAAAGTCCCTAAATTGCTTCCCTAGCTGCTTCGTGGGTTTTCCCTGTTGGAATGTTCCAGATGGGTCTAGAAGTGCTGATTCAATTACCCTCTTCCTGTTCCGCCCTGTGGAGGGGAAGGGGCCTGGAGCATCTGCAGCCCTCCTGCCCCAGCCGGACTGGGATGGAATGGGTCACGGGCTGGGGTGGGGCTCCCCACAGCCCTGGGAGTCCAGGGAGGGGCTCGGAGAAGCCTGGAGAGGAGGCTGCTTCCACCTCGAGGGTCCTCACAAAGCCCTGGCCCTCCTGTCCCTTCTGGCCGACGGGGACGGGTGGGTGGGACCGGGTGGCCATGGTGTTCGCCCTGAGCCTTGCACACATGGGCATGGAAGCCTTGAGCAGGCCCTGGCCCCAGCAACCCAGCCCCAAAGGGGAGACAGGGAGGGGTCAGCCCCTGGGCCCACCCTCTCCATGGGCCTGAAAATATTTATGAAGCCCCATAGCTGTGGTAGAGGAAGGGCCAGCAGCTTACCTGCCTCTCCCTGTTCCAGCATTTCCTTTGAGGCCCAACCCTCAAAGTTCTCTCTGAGTTCCCCGGTTTGCAGGGAGTGGTGGGAGAAACTTCCTCCCTCCCCTCGGGCAGGCGTCCTCACTGGGCTGATTGCCTGACCTGGGGGTCCTCAGAGCTCAGTTGGGGCTGCTGACCCCAGCCCTCCATGGGGGGATGGGCCTGCGGCCACTGGTTCTGAGTGGCCCCTCTGCCTGAGGCTGGGCCATTTGCCTTGTGGTCAGAGCATGGGGCTGGAGGGTCAGGGCAAGGAGGCCTCTGACTCGCTCCCTCCCAGGCTCCTCAGGGTGGCTGTGCAGGCCAGAGCCAGGGGAGGGACGGGGAAGCTGCCCCCACGCCTGGGGTGAAGCCTGGATTGTGGGGTTCCATGGTGGTGAGCGCCTGAGTCCCCTTTGTGCAGGAGGAGAGGTGCTGTGGTGAAAGGTCAGTTTCCTCTGGGCCACGTGGCCAGATCTAAGGCCCCTCACAAGCCCAAGATGGAAACATCCTGGGCTCCAGGAGGGGGCCGGGCCACAGGTGAGTGACTTAAAATGAACTGAGTCCCCTTGGAGCTTCCTTCCCTACCCGTTTCCTGGCTCCTCAGGCCTGAGCCCCTTCTCCTGTCTGCCAGCCTGCCCCAGGTGCCTTGTTCCCCTAAGGAGCTGGGTTTCCAGGTGGCTTCCTCTGCAGCCGCTGGGCCATGGCCCAGGACAGGCTGGGGACCCCATGAAGGCGTGGAATGCCTCCCCTGTCCCTGCAGAAGCTGTGCAGGGAGGGGCTGCAACTTCACTGACCTCAGGAATGTGGTGGTTCATTTCTGCGGGACGCTGCCTTTCTAGAAGTTTCCTCTCAAACTGGCAAGGGCTGACTTCTGCAGTCTCTGTCATTGGGACCAATGCTTATGCCAGAGGGTGGGGTGAGAGGCGGGGAGTCAGGGGCAGCCTCCGGCTCGTGATGATGAATCCGTTTTATCCATTTTAGCCCTGGGGATGCTCTGGGCAGCTGGGAGCCGTCCATGCCCCTGCGCAGGGCCATTGCCTGCAGGAAGCTGCCACTCCTGAGGCCCAGACTCCTTTCGTGCCCTCACGAGCTCTTGGGTCCTGAGCTTGCTCTTCCTGTGTCCTGCATGCCAGCCTTATTCCCCTGGCAGCACATGAGCCCCTCCTCCGTCTGTGCTCCTGGATCCGGGGAGGCTCTAGGAGTAGAGGTGGAACCTAGCTGAGGGTCTGGAGAAAGGGGAGGTGTTCAGGGCACAGTGACTGAGAGCCCCATGGTGCATCTCCTTCCGCCGACAGGCACCCAGCCAGGGCCAGAGCGTGTGCTTCTGAGAACTCCACGGCCCACAGGGCAAGGGTGCGGGGCCCACACAGAGGCCCAGCAGTGGGGGCGACGAGCAAACCACACAGCTGCCAAGAAAGCAAAGCATGGGCGGGAGGGGTGGCTCATGCCTGTAATCCCAGCACTTTGGGAGGCTGAGGTGGGAGGATCACAAGGTCAGGAGTTGGAGAGCCAGCCTGGCCAACATGGCGAAACCCTGTCTCTACTAAAAATACACAAATTAGCTGGGCCTGGTGGCATGTACTTGTAATCTCAGCTGCTTGGGAGGCTGAGGCAAGAGAATCACTTAAACCTGGAAGGCGGAGGTTGCAGTAAACTGAGATTGTGCCATTGGATTCCAGCCTGATCAACAGGAACAAAACTCCAACTCAAAAAAAAAGTTTGAACATACAATTATGCTAGTACTTGATAATGATAACTAACACCTATATTACTGATTGATGTATTTACTAACAGTATTTCTTATTGTTAGGGTGTACTCCTATTTATTTTGAGACAAAGTCTCACTCTGTCACCCAGAGTAAGAGTGCAGTGGTACAATCTCAGTTCACTGCAACCTCTGTCTCTCAAGTTCAAGTTATTCTCCTGCCTCAGTCTCCCAAGTAGCTGGGACCACAGGTGCCCACCACCATACCTGGCTAACTTTTTGTATTTTTAGTAGAGATGGGGTTTCACCATGTTGACAAGCTGGTCTTGAACTCCTGGCCTTTAACTCCACCTGGGCCTCTTGAAATGCTAGGATTACAGGCATGAGCCACTACACCTGACCCCTTCTATTTATGTATATGAAAATATTAACTGTAGGGCCGAGCGCGTTGGCTCACTCCTGTAATCCCAGAACTTTGGGAGGCTGAGGTGGGCAGATCATGAGGTCAGGAGTCTGAGACCAGCCTGGCCAACATGGTGAAATGCCGTCTCTACTAAAAATACAAAAATTAGCTGAGTGTGGTGGTGCATGCCTGTAGTCCCAGCTACTGGGGAGGCTGAGGCAGGAGAATTGCTTGAGCCAGGGAAGTGGAGGCTGCAGTGAGCCGAGATTGCGTCACTGCACAACAGCCTGGGTGACACAAATCCATCTCAAAAAAAAAAAAAAAAAAATTAATTGTAGGGCTGAGTGTGTTGGCTCACGCCTGTAATCCTAGCACTTTGGGAGGTCAAGGCGGGTGAATCACGAGTTCAGAAGATCGAGACCATCCTGGTCATGGTGAAACCCTGTCTCTGCTAAAATACAAAAAATCAGCTGGGTGTGGTGGTATACAGCTGTAGTCCCAGCTACTCAGGAGGCTAAGGCAGGAGAATCGCTTGAACCTGGGAGATGGAGGTTGCAGTGAGCCAAGATTGTGCCACTGCACTCCGGCCTGGCAACCACAAGACTCCATCTCAAAAAAAAAAGAAAAAAAAATAGCCGGGTGTGGCGATGGGCACCTGTAGTCTCAGCTACGAGGGGAGGCTAGGGCAGGAGAATCGCTTGAACCTCAAAGGCAGAACTTGCTGTGAGCCAAGATCGTGCCACTGCACTCCAGCCTGGACAACAGAGTGAGACTGAAACTCAAAAAAAAAAAAAAAAAAAAAAAAATTACCTGT